GATGCTGTCTCGTGACCTTCAGCGGCCTGCCCTGCCAGGATCGGCCGATCTCACGCAGAGTCACCAGATTTGGGTGCTGCTGTGCAAGAAGATCAATATATCCTTGCCATTTGCCGTGCATCTGCGGTGAGATATTTGGATTACAAGCTCTCAAATATTTAAAGCGAGCCCTGTCTTAAAGGCATTAACATAAGTTTCTGGACGGGTGGGCAGGAAGTTGTTTTCCAACAGAGCATGCTTGAGTTCCGGAACCGGATTAGGCACTGAACTTTCACAAGACCTGGGCATACCTGGGCTACAAGGTAGTACAAGGTTGTGTAAATGCACAAGTGGCCTGAGGAGTTGAACTTTGGATCGAGGCTACATGAAACCTTGCACCATTGTCTCCAGGCAGTTTTGCTTGTGTAGCGCAACAATGCGCAACTACGCGCAACTTACTTTGCCATACTTTGCCTATGGTTGCAGTGCGGGGAAGGTTTCAAAATAGGTGCTATCGCCTCTCTATCTGCATCTACACAGTTTGTGTTTGAAGGCGCTCACCTGTGAAATCTGTGGAGGCGCCATGGAGTTCACTTCTTGAACTCCATGTGGCAGGCGTTAACGCACTGAACAAATCCAACAAACCCGAGGCCGTTTTAGGGTTTTAGGTGGGTCTTTCGAAAGAGACCCCCTTAGCTTTGAACTGCGGGGCATAATTCAACTTAATTGGAGCAGTCGGGCCCACTGAGTTGGAAAGGATCTTTTCAAAATTTCCCAGCACAAATCCAGTCTTGTTGCGAATCCCACAGCCAAGGTAACTTGGCCGATTCTACAGGCATTTATGACTCACTTCTGACGAAGAAAAAGGTTCAATTGCACGCATCAATGTTGCCACCTAATTTCAAAATACATTCGCTTACGTTCTATCGATGGCGAGGAAAATCCTACAAATCACGACTTGCTGTGGAAAGCATGAAGTGCGAAACATGTTTGCGGTGACAGGTTATCACGAGTGTCTATACATGCAAGCTATCCCTACTGGGTGAAACATGGTGTCACAATCTAACAATGTTGTCATGTTGAGTGTGAACAACAGAATTGAAATCCGTGGCCAAAGGCAGCTCAAACGCAGCCCAGGTGCGGTGGATATCATCCAATGTGCGGTAGTCCTGAAAGAACTCTGTCAGCTGTCCTGCATTTGGAGGTGGAAGTTTGACTCTTCCTTGGCCTCCACAGCACCAACTGAAAACAAGAGCGGACATTGAAGAAGGAACCCTTGAGACTCTTAGTCCAAATCACAAAAGGTATGATTCAGAAATAATGAATGAACTGAACACGAATGAACTTGAACCCAATTCTAAATGCGAGGACATGCGAGGACATGCGAGGACTCCAGTTTCGTCCTGACCAGGGAGTCGGTGGAGGCTTGGTCTCTTGATTCGGTAAATTGCAATTATTTCCAATCCAAGGAGTAGTAGCAAAGAGCTGACGGGCACGAGGTGCCATGCCATGTGCTACGCTGACAGTTGCTGCTACCGTGCCGGCTCAAGCAACTAAAAGGTGCTCAAAACAGGAGTTCAGTAGTGGTCAGTAGTGCTCATGACTCATCAGTTCACAAGGCATCCATCCAGATTGCTGGACTGATGGAGGCTGATGCGAAAGCTATGATATGACGAAATATGATGAAATTATTTTACAGCAACTACAAGTAGTATTGATTGCAGAATGCTGTGCCGTTGCAACTCCAAGACCAGGCAACCCCATCTGAGGACCTTGCCAGCCACAAGCCCAGCACAACTGGCAAACCGCCAAGCATATTCCACTGCGGTGGCCTCAATAGGGAGAGCACGGTGCTGAGTTTCGCGCTCAAAAAGCTGCAAGGAACCTTTTGAACCTACAAATGGTCCAAATAATTCGCGTGTTTTTGGAATCAAAGAAATTCAGAAGAAAAAACATTGTAAAACTTTAGAACAGTTTAAAACATGTTGGAATTTGGTCATGCATCCCTCAAGAATTAACTTCAAGTCGCTGTCCAGCAGGTTTGGCTGGGGCACAGGCAGAAGCGTATCCCTCAGACTTGGCGCAGCCTGCAGGTCATCAATGCCGGTTTCCAAACCCGGTTTCATATGTGTGACATATGTCACACATATGATATATATGTTACACATGTTTCATATGTTTCATTGCTAGGAGCTGCTAGGAGCTGCCAGGAGATCGCTGCATTCAGCTATATTCAGCTTCAGGCCAATCTTAGAATCCAGGACAAAGATGCGCTTGCGACCGGCTGTAGCACCTTATTACTGACGGCTAGCAAGATCTAGCAGGCATGCAATGGATTGCAATCACGATCAATAGCCAAGTCTTTCTCAAACGAATATGGAAGTCATGTTCGGTCCGGAGGGGAATATGACATCAGTTGAAACATCTGCACTTTGTTGGCACTGGTAACATCCGTTGGTGGGCCTTGGATTCCCTCTTTTTGCAATCTGGGCACTGGGAACATCGCCATCATGGAGGGCTCTGCGTGCTTAGCAGCCCACGTTGTGAGGCTCTGACCTGGGGCCGGGGCCATTAAGATGTGGACAGGAGACGAACAGAGATGAACAGCAGCCCGAGCTCCAAACAAATCATAGTTGGCACGACCTGGGATGGATCTCGGTCAGACCGTTGACCTATGACGACCCATGCCGACCACCTGCCATCAAACTCCTGTGGTCCCCAACCGTATAGAAGATCAGTGCCTGAAGTCCACAAACATCCACAAACACTGCAGTTTGTTGCGATCCCACCGACAAGGGCTCAGCAGGTTTGAGAAGTACCCAGTTACAAGCATCATGCAATGAAAACAAATGAAAACTAATCGTATTGCATGAATCAACAGCTGCTGGGGGAAAAAAGTCTCTCCGGACACTGTTCTTCATACTTGAAAGCGTGAAAAATCAATGAGCATAACAAGTCACTCACTTGCGCATTGCATGACACTAGTTTGTGGCAAGATTCTGCACTGCACAATACTACGCACTATCAATGAAATTCTCATTGCCTGATTGATGGCTGCGATCAGCTCGCAGCTCTTTTGTTCTCTTTGCTTCGGAGTGCCTCTGGATCCTCTGGCCACTGTTGGCCGCACCTGACCCAGGCCTGACCCATCGGTTCGCATCACCTTCCTCTTTGAGGGCTCAGCGAGGAATTTCCAGCAAGGGAGGCTTGGCCGCACCCGCTGCAAGTTCCACAGGCGACTTCTCCAAGTTCTCCGGCCCCATCTCCACAACACAATACGCACAATAAAGACCTATGGCCTATAAAGACCTAAAGCAACTCGAATGGTGAAGCAGCAGTGAAGCAGTTTAAGCGCAGAAAAGCATAGTAAAGCACCTACCTAAACATGTGCAGAGTCACTCTGGTCCAGGCTTATTTGTGAACAATTGTTCAAAGACTGGAGGGTGCACGCGTACTTGGAAGATTCATGCGACTAAGCAGTAATCAAAATGCTCACCAAAAAGGGCCAGCTAGATGAGATCTCTGAGGCCCGGGAGCAACCAAGCCTTGTGAACCATGAAAATGTGTGTTTCATATTGTTCCCAAGTTTCTCTAGAAAACCCCCTGCCGAAACATACCAAAAATACCAAAACATACCATAACTACCGACATGATATCATACTCTGAAGCTCTGAAATAAGTCCCTGAGTTGTGTGGTTACCTCCATGGTGACACCCAGACGTGACTGACTCTGACCTACGGGTTGTGTCTAAGCCGCACGAGCAGCGGCAGAGCTTGGCAGTGGAATGCTCCGGAAAATCCAAAGCTCTGCGGCCGCAGGCAGATCTGACAGGGCGAGCCGCGGTCAGCCGCGCTCAGCCGCGCTCAGCCGGATCGAAGCCCATGGAGCCCTGGAGAGGATTTGGAACGGCGTCCCAGGTCACCTGCGTCGCTGATCGTCGCTGATCGACGCTGATCAACGCCGATCGACACAAGATACATAAGCTCTGATGATCTCTGATGACCTCGATGAAAGTTTGTGCAACATTCTACAACCCTCATGTTACCCAACTCATGTGCAAAACCGAGGCGACCGAGGGCCTCCTGGGTATAAGAGCTTTTTCATTTTGCTGCCTCCAACCATTGATCTCATCCTCTTCAAATAGGCGTCCTTGCACAGCCCAAAAAGTGCGGTAGGAGGTAGGGAAAAACTTGCAGGGAATGAGTTCTTTGGTCACAGGAGACGTCCTCTTCATTTCGGAGCCGCGTTTCATCAAAGCGTTGCTTCAGGTCACCCGTGAAGACATCGTACTCTTTGGTGTACATTGCGAAGGAGTGGCTCCTAACCACCAGGAGCATCGCACAAGTTTTCCATGAGAGCACAATTTCCAAAACATTCAAAGACGATGGAAAACCTAGCTGTAGAGATGAATAGAGCTGAAGATTCTGAAGGGACACTAGATCTGCTCAAGAACTACCGATGAGTCCGTGAGGATTGAAGTCAGACAACGCATTAACCGTTGGCCATCACATCTCATGAATTTCAGCAAAGCAACTGACTGGCTTTGGTTGCCACTTCCACGCGGTTGTAAACAACCTGGCCCAGCGTCCACTTTCAAACACCCACTGCTGAGCGCTAATCAATCAAACCTCTTCTACACAGGTGGCATTGTACACGGCCAAGGTTCCCAAAAGCAGAACCCTCACACACATTCGCAGCAAGTCAACACAGCATCTTGGCCTCTCATGTCATCTCAACTCGTGTCTTTTCAACGTATCACAAGGTTTTCAAGGTGGTTCAGGAGTTGAGTGCGCGCTTTGCGGCGTCTGGCCTTGTTGCTTAGGTTCCACGGTGGCTCCAACGTCAGCGTCTCCCCTCCCCTTGCCAAAGGGCTTCGAGGATTGGAACTGCCACGCTCCAGAGGGTCTCCTCACAAGTTCGCTCAATTTCGCTCATGTTACGTATACTCACGGCCGACATGTTTCCACCCGGCCTTGCCCTGGTAGGGTTCCTTGATCCTCTTTGGAAACTCCTCATGGCTGAAGCTCAAGCCAACATAAACATCATGAACAAATGCAATTCTTCCGGGATGCCCATGAAGTTTCTTCATGAAGTTTTTTCATGGGCTTTCTGCAACACATCGCAGCATGTTGCAGTATGTTACAGAATGCGGGGTCTCCTCGCCGATGCCTCAAAGAGATGGGGCCAACCAGGCGAGGATTCTTGGGCGCCTGAGATGCCAAGATCCCACTAAGCATCACCAAGCATCAACAAGCATCAACAAGCATCAACAAGCATCAACAAGCATCAAATGGAGAAGATGAAGAATGTTTGGCTGTGGCCTTGTATGCTGTGGTGTGACAAATCACGAGAAGAGACCAATCCCATCTGATTTGAAATAACGCTCCGTATTCTCCAGCTCCACACCCTGAAATCTCCTGAATGGCACCAAGGATCCATCTTCAGGGCGAAAGCAGAGGTTCGTGCCATGCGCATCACATCTCTGTCTTCAGCTCCCGCGTGCAAACTCAGCATGCCAGGTGACACCCAGGTCCTTGGTGCGTCTGCTCCATTCCTTGAGACGACCTATCCCACCTATGCTTCCTTTTGTGCCTCTATCAATGTGATCCCTGCGTGCCCAAGCATGCGTCGAGTCTAGGGAGCTGGCGTGTTCAGTTCGGTTACGCAGAATCGGTCTGGCAGAGCCTCCGTTTTTAGTTTCTGCCTCGGTGGCACTTCACGCACTTCAAGAGGCATTTTGTCGCTTGGTTGAGAATTGGCTGAAGACAGTTAATTATGGCAGTTGTGGGGCACAAATGAACCGACTAAATTGTTCCTTTTCGGTATTTTACCATCCCGACATGGGTCAAGAATTTTGAGCCACTATGCCATACGGTATTGCCATCCTCTCCAGTTGCTTCCCCCCCTTGTGCACCATTTTAGACCCCAAAATTTGTTTCTACAAATGGAATCTAAAAATGTATTGCCCATGTCATACACCGAGTTCCAACCCTTCTCGTGCCGAGGAACTCAAGAAGCTGCTGCCTTTGCCGCTTCATCCTCAAAACACGTTGATTTCTTGCAATCAACCCACAGTAAACGCGCAGTGGGAGCTGCAAATTGACTGCACGGATTCCATCGATTGCAGCGATCGCGCAGGCAAGTACTGCAGACATGCTTCTTTGCTTCTTCTTCCCTTTTCTCATTGGCCCTCTTCTGCCTTGGCTCTTGATTCCACGTCACTCCAAGGAACTGTTACCTCGTGACTCTATGGACTCTAGACTCTATCTCTTGACTTTTTGTGACCCTCGCATCTAGGGAAAATTGTCGCGAGATTGCGGTGGCCACGTTCATCCCTTCCTGCGCTTTAGATCTGCAGTCAGGGGGCATAAGAGTCAAATGCCCAGCCATACGTGCCCGGCGCATCCGAACGGCTTTCTTTCCTTCGGAAAAAGACATCGACATTGCATCCTCATCCCCACTCCTGGTCAGCAAAATTGAAGTTGGCCAAGGTTGCACGAATCTGCAGGCGGAACTTGCAGATACAGTACTGGAAGAATGTTCTGAGGAGGAATGTTCCGAATCATAGGAAAAAGGCAATTTTTTCAAGAATTTCCCAGAGCCTCATAGTACCAGTAGGCGTGATTGGCGAGAGTGGAACCGCATCTTCAACTGAACGTTCCGCGTGCTTTGGTCGAGGGTGGCCATTGGGGAAAGAAATGGAGGTGTCAGAAACAATGCATAAGAAATGGACAGAATATCTCGGAACTCCAAACAGTGTGGGCTGTGACTCTCTTGTTCGGGTAAATGTCTTGATGTTTTTTGCAACTCTTGCTTGGGAAGGCATTTTTTGCATGGGTTGCCAGCGGTGTTTTTTGCGACGGTGGAGGCCGGTGGAGGGATGCTTTTTGCAACAGGAAACGGTACTTTTTGCGACGGCAACTGTGTTTTTGGCGACGGTCGGTGTTTTCTGCTATGGTAAGCTGTGTTTTTTATGTTTTCTGCACGGGCTGCGCGGGGGGGCGTGCTGTGTCGGTGGTGCTCTTGCGACGGTCTGCGTTTTCTGCGACAGCGAGCGGTGTTTTTTTGAACAGCTTGGGGCGGTGCCGCTGCTGGTGCTGGTGACCCTTCACTACCTTTCTATATACCTTTACAGGGTACGTTCTCTATCCCAGATGCTGCCTCTGTTACCCACTATACAGGCAAGATCACCGATAGAAGGCAAACACGATGACGATGACAATTCCACAACACGCAATAGCAGCAACAACGGGAACAACAGGAACAACAGGCTCCAGAGGAACAACATGAAGCAACAGGCGCTACAGGCGCAACGTTCGACCCGCTACCTACTACCTACGACGTACGTACTAAGGTTGATGGTTGATGAATTTGACATAAAACAAAGCCAGTTTCCAACGGAAAAACTAGTGACTCGACAGATTTAATGCTTCATACCTGATCATGAAGTTGATGGCTGTATGTCATTTTCCAGCATTTGCAAATGTGAGTGGGGCACCGTCATTCCACTTGATTGCAAGCAACGCAAAAGATACACGCACAAGATTCTAGCTATAAAACCAGGCCCACAGCAGGTCAAAACCATACGCAAGGCGTAATCTAGAATGCTGCACACAGTGGATGAAAAATATATATTCCACGTAAGTTGCCTTTCTGCGGGACACTGTTCTCAAGTTTGTTACAGTTACAACCCTGACGCTTTCCATTGCGCCAACGGTTACGTGCCAATTGACAGGTACTGTACGAGTCTATTATTGGCGCAATCGTAGCCAGCTTCTTCAGAGTTCCTTGCCCGATTGCTTGTTGTTCAATTTAGCCTTGTGCAACATGTTATTTCCTAGTTTTTCAATTGTCCCTCGCACGGGGGGGCAAAAATTCCAGTGCAAGTCCTTCGTTGGTCCTGCCAAACAGACCTCCCCAGCGTTCTCATTTCCCAAATTGCACATTATATGGGTTATGTCCCTGCTGGAGGAGCCCGAAAATTCCAGCGCAGGTCCTGCACTGGAATTTTTGCCCCCCCCCAAGACGGACCACCAAAATTCCGACAAGGATTTGCAGACAAGTCAGATGAGGTCTCCTCCTCCATTGATATCAATTGATTTGCCATTACATTTATCAATATATGTTCAGGTACAAAGTCATACGGCAAAATAAGTTTCAGATTGTATGGCAAGAATGGTTGCTATAGCGATTCTCAAACAAGGATCTGAGCCGCATCATATCTACCAGGAGGGGATCCTCAACTCCTGTTGTTTGTACAGGTTGCTGCCACTGTTGGATGGTGCCGAGAAACTTGTTTGGAAACACGCTTCAACTTGCATCGACCAATATGCCGAAGATATGTCTGTATGATTGGCTTTGATTCTTATGTGTACAGTAAAATGTTGTGTCTTTCGACCTCACACCATCACCAGGGCTACCCGCTTGCAGGGCTACCCGCTTGCAGCGGGTAGCCGCCATCAGCTTGGGCAACTTGCGCGGGGGAAGCGCTGTCACCGCGCCCCCCCGCCAAACTAATTCCATCCTGCTTGGCCCATCAAAACAACAAACCCACAACCAAAACGGATAGCACAACAGGCAACAGCAGCGCTTTGCTCTTGCTACATGCTACCCACCTACTACCCACTACCTCCTACCCACTATACTTCCATGCTACCCACTACCTACGAACTACGACCTGGACCTAGTACCTGCTACCTAACCACCTACGACATATGACCGGCTGACCACTACTGCTACCAGCTAGCCGTTGCAAACACACCGGCCAACCGTTGCAAAAAACACTGGCCAAAACCGTTGCCAAAAAAAACACCGGGACCCATTTTAGAAAAACACAGGGGAACTGTCGCAAAAAACACCGGGAACCGTTGCAAGAAAAACGCACCGTTGCAAAAAAAAACGGCACAGGCTGGAAAAAACACCAGTCTGGAAATACACTGGCTACCGTTGCACCAAAAAACACCAATCCTATTTGGAACGATCACCTTTGAACATGATCTGTTGATATTTGTTGTACAATGCCAATGCTTTCTGTATTTTTTTTGCTGTTGTGGAATGGGCTATGTTCACAAACTCTTTCAAACTTGAAAGTCTGGCAAGTGACATTCATCCTCGAAGTCAAAGTTCAAGTTTGAGGAGTTTCCTGGAAGACTTGACAAAGATATGAGGAACATGATGAGTTACAGATATGTATACTGCATGTGTATATATATACATATACATACATATTGTTACATCATCATGTTTGTTACATCATCATGTTGTCATTACTTTGCCTTCGATCCACTGTTCCGGTCAGGCATTTAGCCCAACTGATGCTCCTCTGGCAAGTGCCTTGGGACTGTCCCAGCCTGGCGACATCTGGCGCTTGCACTTTGCACTGCGTTAAAGCCTACCACAGCGGACCGCATCTGACCAAGAAGCCTGGCGCGGTGTCTATCAGATCCATGTCCAGCTCAGCCACTGCCCTTAGGTCCCAAAAAGGGCGGAGAAAAAAAACAAAACACCTCACTGGTCTGCTTTGTCCAAGAGACAGGAGACCCTTTAATATCTTTATATAATTGCCCAAGTTGCTCGGGATCCGCTTCCGCACAATCATCACCACTGATGCGAGCCTCAGGGGTATCAGAATATCACTTCGAGCATCCTTTATATTTTTATATTGAGATCTGAGAAGTCCAGAATCTCCCGAAAATTCAAAAGATTGAATGTGACAGGTGCCCCTCTGTTCTGAAAAGGCACCATCTCCGAGAAATGTCGATCAAGCATTGCCATACCCTGCGTATTCAGGGTAAGATAACCTCACGTCGAGCAAGGCATTGTGGCCACAATATCCACAAACTTCTGATGCAACAACAAAAGAAAAAGGTTCTGATCATTTCTCCGGTTGACTCCTCAGACTTCCCTAATGGAAAAAGTAACATGCAACAAGATCAACGAGCACTTGCATCTCAGAAGCGGTCGACGCCTCATGGCACTCGGTTGCACTCGGTTGCACTCATATCAAAATTATCAAAGCAACTGATCAAAACTGATCAGGACCCTTCGAAACTCCTCAAACACGTGGGGTGCAGTGGAAATTTACAGGCCTTGTAACATCGAAACACAATGAAACATATATAACTAACATTATGTAAATATATGTGATATGTTTGGTTATGTCAATGTAAGGCGCTTATCTTCTCCAAAGTGTGCATCTCACGTTCAACCGTCCAACTATTGTCTACCAAGGTTCTGAGGTCTGCGGGAACCCGATCTTTCTTGACAGCCAGGGCGGCCAGGGATGCCTCTGCTTCGACAAAAGCATGCCGCATCCAGATGGTGCTTTCAGTATCACCATGCTTCAGCTGTAACAACATGTAACAACCACAAAAACGAGTGCCCTGAAAGCACTGGAATGACACTGGAATGCCCGTGAGGAATACAGTACCCTGGCAAAACGGTGCACAATTCCTCAGCTGAGTCACTGTGGCGGTCATCCAGTCGTTCTTGCCTGAGCGTTCATCTTCTCGAGCTTGCAATACGTGCTCCAGCTGGATTTCGTCAGGGCAAGGGGCATCCAACTTGCCAAACCTGTGTTCAGGAACCCATGGGCGCAGAGTGCGCGATCCAAGCCAAACTCATGTCTGCTTCGCCGAACATATACCCAACAATTTACATAATTTACATTGTTACATCATAATCCTTTAATATCCTTTGGACTGATCATATGGCCTTGCTCTGTCACTGCACTAACCCTAGCCGAGGAGCTTCAGTGGTCGCGTGTGAGAGTTCTGCTGCTCCAGCTCAGCTTGCCTCAGGCAGGCAGGCAGGCTTGTCACCTGTTCCAATCGGTTCCACACACATGTTCGCGACATTGAGGATGTGAGGATATTTGGGGTTTACAAATGTCGTTGATGTTGTTGTCAAAGAAACGCAGGATGTCTTGCTCACAGCGCCTTTCATTCTAGGGGGGATCATTGCCCACAAAAACCTGCACTGATAGCTATGTCATATGGTTAGATATGGTTAGTAGATGTTCCATGATGTTCCTAGTATATGTGTAGAGTGTCCCAAGGTGCTCAAAGGGATGTCATACCAACATGGCATCATCTGGCCTTCGTTGTCCAGCCAAGTAGTCAGCTTGATTCACATGGGGGCTGTCCAGAACCCTGCGTAGGAAAAGTGTTTCTCGTAGTTTCCGGGCTGTGTCAAGGTTGATCGCAAAGCCCACCCTTGGATCAAAAATATCACGAGTTGCGCAGGCAAGCTTCACAGCTTGACAAGGTCCACTAAGTCCTCTGTCTCTGTCTCCTGTTCCATGACCTTCTCAAAACAACCAAAACTATTCACAATTTATCCTCAAGCTAAAGATGCTAAAGCGATTAGCCAAGCATCATCTCAAAATGGATCACAAGCATGATATTGTTGATGAAGTTGTTGGAGTGACTGAGAACCATGTTCCGATCCTCGGGGAAGCCATCGAAGTACATGCGGAAGATCACCTGGACAAGACAAGACAGGCATTCCTGAGAGTGACGAGCTGGTGCTTGACCATTTGGAGACTGTGCTGTGCTAAGCCCTGCCTGTGCAAAGACAAAGGGCATAGTGGACATGATCCACTGTCTGGCTGGAAGGTCGTGTTTCAAGCTTTCGCTGACCTTGACAAGCGATGTACTCGCGAGTTGCAAGTCCAATTGCGAGATGTTGCCCCTCGCTTTTTGCCCAGCGTGTTCAGTCATAGAAATCAATAGAAATCATAGCAAATTACTGTAGCCAAAGATCCTCCAGCTGGAGGGAATGCCACGACTTCCCTGTCAACACCCTGGATACTTCCACCACCTGTGGCAGAGTGGGCTGACTCGAAACCCTGTGAAAAAAATTGGTGCGGGAGGTAGATGGGACCAAGAAACTGGAACTGCCTCATTGCATAGCACTCAATGTTTCAGGATGTCCTGTTGTCAAATGCAGGAACATCATATCAACAATACGGAATAACAGTATAGGACACAACACGCAGATAGACAATTCAGAACCCTATCGTTATTTAAACAAAAACGCCACAATTTGGGCCCCAACAACAAACACGCAAAAAAGAGGAAAGAAAAGATATAGTACTCAGTAGGTAGAATAAGTTTGAATATTGGCACTAAGCATGAAGCCAAATGAGAACTCAAACATGTCAACAACATATCAAACACACACACAGACACACACACACACACGCACACATGTATCATAAAAACGGATTCTATCCGGGGTTATGTCTCAGCTTCTATCAGTTTCTATCAGATATCTTTCCTGCTCCATTCCAGTCTTCTGAGTCCTCTCTTAAGTTTGGTCGTCCGATGTTTGCCTGCGCCGGGACACAGTGGAAGATTGCGCTGAGCACGAGCCTGCGCACTCACAACAAATACTGTAATACATGACGGCTTTTGGGCGCCCCAAGGACACCTGAAAACATTTAGACACCTAAAAAATAGGAGAAATTGACATCAATGTTCCACTGTGATGAAGAAGCACTTGTACTCAGAATTGCTCTCCGCGTTTACGTCCAACGCTGCTACACATCTGAGGAAAGCACCAAAACAGCGAGGAGCCAGTCCTCATCATAGAATTAGAAGCACAAGGTGGAGCCGTCCAAAACCAAAACACTTCACAACTTGCTTCACTGATTCACAACTGAAACAAAAAGGACTGGGGAAAAAATCTCAAGCTCTTCTGCAATCTTCAACAGCCAAGGTTCAACACACAGCTCTCGCTGACCAAGAACTTCTTCAACAACTGAACTCGTTTCTCCGAATCACTGATCCTCAGATGGAACAAGCTGGGGATATACTCCGAAATTTGGATGAATGATGAACATCAATACTTCTAATTCCTTTTGCAGAGGCAGCACTCAAAATGGCATCCCAATTACATTCTATGGCTCCATGATGCCTTACGGCAAAATTATATGCATTTATATGCATTTGTCACCTTGCCAAGATGCAGCCTATGAGACGAGGAAGCGCCACCCTGTCAGATCAGGGAAGATTGAATAGCAGCTATAGCATTTGGATCCCGGAACATTTCTGTTTCAAGCCACAAGCCAGCAAGCCACTTGAAAGCGTCATCGCTTTGCACTTTGCAAACTTGGCACGTCAGGGTTATATGTTTATATTATATCATATTATATCTCTCTCCGTGTACTATCTCTTTTCTCTATATATATGTGTGTGTAAATATATATCTGTGTGTGTGTGCTATCTATGCATATCAGTATATCAGTATATCAGTATATCGGTATATCTATCTATCTGTCTGTCTATCTATCTATCTATCTATTTATCTATCCTATCATATCCTATCCTATCCATCCATCCATCTATCTATCTATCTATCTTATCCTTCCCATCCCATCCCATCCCATCCCATCCCATCCCATCCCATCCTATCTATCTTTCTATCTATCTATCTATCTATCTATTAATCTAATCTAATCTAATCTATCTAATCTATCTAATCTATCTAATCTATCTAATCTATCTAATCTATCTAATCTATCTAATCTATCTGTCTGTCTGTCTGTCTATCTGTCTATCTATCTATCTAAGTAATTATTCTGTGTGTTTGAGTGCATCAATGTTTTGAAAGAATTCAAAGATTATTCCCGGCTGTGGCCGGCCTCTCTCGTCTTGGAGTCTCCCGGGCTCCCTCGCAAACCGAGCAATGCATCTTCGAGATAGTACGGCACTTCCTCCGATTCCAGGCGTTGCTTTGTCAATTTCTGGGGCTTTTGTGCGGCTGTGGATGGGTTTTTTCCAAAACATATTCGCCAAGAGACCCGAGAAACGATATCACCACCCTGCCAGCGGTCAATTTGTCAATCTGTCAATCTGTCGTCTCCGTCTGTCACAGATGGCCAGTGGTTTCATGTGTCGTCTCTCGTGACTCGTCTCCTGCTGCGTAGCTTCGATCATGCTTGCCTGCAAATCTACACGGCATTCACTTCATAACATGCCAACATGCTGCCTGATATCACTGACAATTGTGATTGTGGCGGACAGTTCATGTCATTCATGCGTACTGCCATGAGTTCAACTAGATTGCACCGGCTGATGCTTGACAAGTCCAGTTTGTCACATGACTCATGGCTCATGACTGACACCCAGCTTGATCTGAAATGTTCTATGTCTAGACACGGCGGAAGCTGCCTGGAATTCCCAGATGCTGCTCACGCCAGTCCAGTTCTTCTCCTCTCCTTTTGGTTCCTTCTTTTTGTCCTCAAGACTCGGAGCTGGATCCCCACTGCGCCGAAGACAAAGTGGTCACTCAGTAATAACTGATATATATATATATAAGCGATACAACATGATACAAGGATTGTAAAGTCGGTACATGTTGTAACTCATTGTAACCACCGTGGAATGTGGTGAGGCCAAGGCTTTCTCTCCATCTCCGTCCTCAGTTCCAATTCATTCCAATTCAAAAAGACTCAGCGCATGCCGCCCCGACCCCATCTGAGGTGAGCACTGCCATCACAAATCTTCGGATCTTCGGATGATCAGGGCTCAAAAATCCGCTTTTGAAACAGCTGCGATCCGAAAGAGAAAGTTCTCAAAACTGCAAAGCGGCTCGCATCCAGGACGCCAATTCAAAATCTTTCTGGTGGCTTGGGGAAAGCATTGATGCCGTCCATTCTGGACTTCTTAAATGCCAAGCACAAGAGACATCAAGAGAAATCGCAAAACTATCTGAGTCTGACTTGAGATACCTGCCATCCAACCAAGAGATGAGTTCGGAGGAGCCTGCACAAGATCAGAAACCTCCTTGAGTATGATGAGTACAGTCCAAGCAGAAGTTGTTGCGCGCTGTAGCGTGTCTCTTCTGCAGTTTTTTACTGTGTACCTCTGTTCGCATTCTCTTAATTTCTGGGAATCCTTTGTGAATATATCTTTCAACGGGACATTGCGTGCAATCCATAAAGCATAAACCATCCCCAATTACTTGTCCGAAGAAATATTATTATTAAAAACACAATCCCAAAACATCCCTTCAAACGGCCAAAAGAGCAGTTGCCTTTGCAGTTAAGAAATGGGGGGTTCAACCGAACCATCCGAATTGGAGGTTTAAGGTATTAATCAATATGAATCATGCTCCTCTTTCGGATATTGAATTCCCTTCCTGTGTTGCTTTGTTCACACTTCTTTTCACTCCTTTGGTTCCCAGAGCCCTCTTCTGACCCTCCAGTGAATTCCGTCGTTCTCAACTCGATAGTTGACTGTTCAGCAGGTTTCGACTGGTGGCATTGGTTGTTGGCATGAAGAACTTTTTTAGAAGGAAACCCGCGCAGGAAGAGCCATGGGGGTCTAAAAAATGTTCTCATTGCTGGCACACAAATATAACGCGTGTGCATATATACGAATGTATAGAAAGCAGATATCGTTACAGTTCTTTACACACAATTATAGTTAAAGGATGTTAAAGGTGATTCTGATTGATGCACTAGTCCTACTAACAGTCCTGAACTATACACTTCGTGGATCATGTGCCCAATTTATCTTCAGGATTGCCCTGTCCACTGGCTGTCCCAAGGTGACACTGGAAAAGCTGCACAATGCTCATGTCAGCTAACGTGTCAGAATATTTGTCAGAATGCCAGTTTTTGTTTGAGATAGATGGTCAGCCGGTGGGGGTCAGCCGAAGAAAGTAATTAATTTCCGGGGCTGGTTAGGTTAATAAATAATGCATATAACTGGGCTATACTATACTACAGTATATAGCATTATATCTCTCTCTCTCTATGCGTCTGTCGGTCTGTCTATCTGTTTGTTTACGGCGACAGAGAATAAAGCACTAAACTACCTATCCGGCCGGTTTCCCCAGACGTACCCCCAATCTAGAATCGCTGTTGTTGGTTAAACCATCATTTTTCATGGTCAAACGGCTATCATCGCAAGAAACGCCTCCAACGATTTATATCCACGTCATTTAGGTAGTCCTCCTATCCACTCGCACATCCGCAGGCGTGCCGTGACACTCGCGCAGCCATCGCAAGCTGCAGCTCTAAAGGGCACTGACCTCAGGAAATGCGAAAAACTCACCTCCCAGCACCCAGGGACAATGATTCGCCGTCTGGGCAAGCACAGGCATCTTCCAGATTCCCCAAAAACTCTCAAGAGCAAATTCGGAAACCCCACACTGAAAATTACTGTCCCAACATGCAAAAGACATTTATATAAATTCACCGAGAAAAAAGTTTTTGGAACTCGGATGCATTCGGTCATTCTGACTGGATTTGAACTGCTTTATCCCCCTAGCGGCCCTAGCTCCTCCCAAAGCCACCAGGTTTGGCATGTTTGGCACTTTCTCATATTGCTGTCATGCAACTGATTTCCAGCCACGCCGAAAATTACAAGCATGGGCAGCGCCACCACGTGTGTCCAAGCCTCGAAGGCTGACTGGCAGCAACTATCCAACCAAAGATCAGACCTGCTGTTTCAAACAAAGAAATTCCGAAAGCGCGCAGCAAAGACTCCGATAAGGGAGTTGGAAAGTTGGACCCCAAGAGCTACAACCAAACCTGTTACGGCCTGTTACGAGTAGTGTGCTCACCAATGTCAAAACGTGTCAAAACCTCTCCACATCCCACACCAAGATGTTCTTCTACCGAGATGTGAGTCCGGCACAACGACTTGGAGGGCTGAATGCTTTCGGGCCAGCTGCCGCCTTCACAGGAGACTTCACATGTCGTAGAAGCGCGTGGGGCTTCAGAAGGAGTACGAACATGTACGAACTGGTTTTGGGCTCTGATTCTTTGTGGCTTCATTTCATGTTTGGGTCTGCTTTGGGTCTGCTTTCCATATCTTTCCATTGCAGCCGCATTTTGACGCTTGTTGCATTTGCTCTTTGCATTTGAGCATCGGAACTCATTGGCACCTGGCTTGCCGCGTTTCGGAGCGGTTTAAGGCTCCATTTCATGGTACTTGTATGTCCTTGTGGGAGTTGAGCGGTTTGACTCGGTATTTGTACGTTAGTTTGCTTGCATTGAGAGGTTATTCGCTTCGCTGCATTTTGGAGCGGTGCTTGGTTGCAAATTGCAGTTTAGGATCAGATTTATGTTGTTGGTCTGGTTGTCCTATGTCCGATGTTGATACTGTAGATATCTGTAGATGTTGTTGTTACGCACATTTCTTCTTGGTTTTTGTTGCCCTGTGGTTGATCTCTTTCCTTGTTCTTGTTTCTCCTCCTCCTCCTCCTCCGCCTCCTCCTCCTGCCGCTGCCGTTGTTGGCGGTGGCGCCGGATTTTGTGCTGTTGCTGGGCATACTATTACTCGCAGAATATCTGTGAATTTGCTGGGCTGTGATTCCAAAAACTCAATCTATCTCTGTGGTGAGTTAGGCACCCACTCCAAAATATAAGGATTATATCAGAAATTATGTTGGAAATCATCTTGGAAGCCAAAGCCAGGAAGCCAAAGCCAAGAAGCCAAAGGAAAAGAATAGCCACGAGAAGCCAAGAAAGCTCGAGAAAACTATTTAAACCTGAAAGAACTATATACATAACTTTCTTCAGGGAAGGTTTTGCTTTGGCATAACTTCAAATTAGCCCAGCTTTGCGTGCTGAGCCTAGCATGGCTGTGAATTCATGCTTACAATGTGAATGGAATCAAAAGAGCTCCAGAGAGAGAGAGAGAGAGAGAGAAAGAGCGACAGCGAGAGCGTTGTCTGTAGGCTTCATCGTGCTTTGCGCAATCTTTGCGCTTGTTTCCACAGTTTCCCGTTGCACAGTCTGTTGCAACATCCGTGCCCTTGCTCCTCAGCAGGATTAGCAGACAGGCTGAAAGGGAATTAACCTGGGCACTCGCCAAATTGCTCTTGCTTGACAGGTTATTCTTTTGTTGCAAGGCAGCCATGGTTTTCTGTATAGTCAACTCTGGTTGATGCTGGGGAGCCAACGAAAAGAGCAACATGACCCCAGCCTCGCCGGAAAAGTCTGGGAAACAAAACAGCACTTTGATTGCCAAGTCATCTCTGACATGAAGTACAGTTAGGAGATCTAAGAGTGAACCTGAGTGGTGCTTCTGAGTGTTTGGATGCCACACACCAGGATCCAGCAAGACCTGTCAGATCGCAATATCTTGGATCCTGCCAAGCTTGTTGTATCCGGTCTATCTCACCATTTGAGATCGAATTCTGGTTCCCCCTTCTGAACGGCCGCAATCTCCATGCGGTCTAAGAATCCTGCAATGAGCCCTGCTCCTGCTATGCCCAAAGCCTTCCGGCAGCGCAGCCATATCTGCTTCAGACCCAAGTGTGCTATCTTGAAAAGTGCAGGACGGCTAAGTGTCATGCAAGGCCCACCAATTTGGGGCCACTAGCAGTTTCCAAACCTCATCGCTGTCATTGCTGTTGCTCCATCCGTTTGAAGTATGGCTCAGGAGACCACCAAGCATCAACGACAGCAGCCTCGACACTGTTTGTCGTTCATGAAAAGCCAAGTCTTGGGTTTCAAAGAAGCAAGGGCCAGGCCAGGTATGGCCGGGCCGGGTATGGCCAGGTTTTGTAACACAAAACAAAACAAAACAAAACGAAACGAAACGAAACAAAACGGAAGGAATCAGAAAGCAGCTTTTGTCTCCGCATCGAACCACTCGAAATGCTATAGCATTGTATTAGGGGAGCACATGGGGTCCAAGCATCCAGTCATGAACCTTTGACAGATACCTGCCGCCATGTAGCACCCGGGTAGGCCATTGAGCTATAGCAGCTAGCCAAACACCAAAAAAGAGATTGTTCTCCTCAAAGAGCTTTCTTCAACCACTGACAAGCTCGATCGCCGACCCTGAAGAAATGAGTCTAGACTGTCATCTGAGTCATCTGGCGTAGTTGAAGCTTGCAGTATCAAGAGTGGCTGCTGCTGAGTCCAGATATGCCCACTAAGAATCGACAAAATTGTTTTCTGTCGCCAGGAAGGGCCTCTATTCCACTTCTCCCCCCGGAAAAAGACTGATTGATGCGAAAAGGGGAAGGGGGGCAAGAAATGACAATAATGTAACAATGTACATACATGACGTGAACAATAGCAGTGTGCACAATTATTTTTGGTGGAGGCTGTTGGTAGCGCTCAGAAGGTCCTTCTTCGAGGCACCGATTGAGAAAGGGACAAATGCCTACGACAGCGCCTTAGCAGCAGCCACACTACCAACTTCCTCGGAATTGTCTACTCAGTATTTGAAGCGAACACTGCCCTCTCAGGACTCAGAAAACCTGCTTCATCATTCCTGCGCTCTGCAGGTCATTCCGGCATACGAAACCAAGCTCAATCAATCTGAATCGCATGCATCAATATACATCGATTATTTGACTCTTTCTATCTCTTTCTATTTCTTTCTTCCAACTCATTGGAAACTTATCGAAACCTCCTGGTTTGACTAAGTTTGACTGCTCATGGCTCAAGTGGTGACAGTGATCCCTCTTGGACTCGTTGGACTCGTTGGACTCGACTCGTTGGACCAAGGCACCTCTGATGATTTCCTCGTTCTTCTCAGCCTCGCCGCTCTCCTGGTCAAACACGTCCTTCCTGGCCGCGGAACAGCCAGCCTGCCCTAGAGGCCCTAGAGGCCCTAGAGGCCCTAGAGGCCCTAGCTGGAAAACACGAGGACAGGACTTCAGTTTGAAATAGACGTCGTAGATCTTCTCCTCCTCGCCAGGACAAAGAATGGCAGCTTAGCAGAATGGCGAACCACCAATGGACCGCTCAGACTCTGCAGGGTATCTTTTCATTTCCATGATCCCAATAAATACAAATCATGGATATTCATGGATGATCAATGATCATGGCATTGGCATCATAGATTGTATGCGTTAAAATGCCTGCCTCCGGCTTAGCATCATCAGTCACCACAAAGAAGGGGGCACGAGTCACCTGGAAGCGGCGGCGAGACATGGGCAGAAACCTACCATCTTATATACAGTAACACATCTGTTCCACCAAAAGGATCAAAAGGATTCAAAAGGCATATATAAAGTACCAGGATAGAACGGACTGGCAGAACAACGAATCACACCTCATGCTTTCTCGCTAAGACCACCCCCTCGGAGGTATGATCTCGTTCATCGGCCATAATCACACGATCAATGCGGTCAGTCAGGTTGTCCTTTTGAATCCTTAGCACCGAACTTGAAAAGCTGCCAATCATTCTCAGTTGCTAGGGACATCTGAACATTGCATACGAACCAATACCCCAAAAAAAACTAAGTCCGAAATCTCCTGCGTGTGTTCTACCGTCTTCTACCCTATTCTGCCTGCCGTTCGAGACTCTGTTTCCAAACAAAGTCGCACTTCTGGCAGGTGCTCCTTAGCAACCGCCCGCAATCAGCATTTTATGATAATTTCACCATATTCGCGGCAAGACATGGCAAAACAGCAAGACTCCCATCAGAGTAGATCTTCTTGACAAAGGCCACCTGCACATCCAACATGATCCGATATGATCCGATGGCTCATGAATCTTGCATGAATCACAAAGGTGTTGAGGTATGGAGGGGAAGCTTTTGGATTTTCTGTATGTTGGAATGGCTGGTGTAGGTCCTAACATGTCGCATGAACCACAAGCCGTCCCAGCTACCAAGCAACTTCTCAGCTCATGCGTGCCTTAGTCGCAAAACAGCGCTCTGCGCCCAGAAGGTGCCTGCAAACGCCAGGATGCAGCATCCGAAATGCATCGGAGCCTGACTTATGTACTCTGCAAATCTCTGCAACCTCCCCTTGCCTGCTACTCACATGAACACAAAATTCCACAAGAGTGTTGAAGTGATTTTTCACTCTGCGATGCTGGTGAGAAACACTTTACAGATCTTTACGGTACTGCTTTTAAGGGTGAGTGAGCTTTGTTTCCCAGCCTGGGAGCAGCGCGGAGCACCCGGAGCGAAGTGAAGGACATCATGTTTGGTTCTGGAAAAGCTGCGGAGATGGTATCATGATGCTGCCAGCACCATGACTCACAACCGCACATTATTCCTTATTCCTCAAGATCCTCAAGCAGCACAAAAAGTAATTCGACATTGGAAAGCAAAAATCCGCAGAACTGACTTCAAGCTTCTCCGTGCAAGTGAGGTCCAGACGTTGTGAAAACCAATTGCAGTGGCCTCGGCAAAGAGTCACAGGCCACATCAAATCGGGAGAAACAACTGCGCATCAGTGCCATGTACATGGTTGGTTCGATTGGATTCTTACAGTAATACGTGGCAAATGTGGCAATTACGCATTTGCTTCCACTACACTGTTTGATACAGGATCTGAAGCAGTGAGGCTAAGATCGTCTGGGATCCCGGTCTGCCAGGCAGTTGCAGTGACCTGCAAAACACCCACATTTCTTGTACCACTGTGCGCAATATTGCGCAATTTCAATTCTCAGTTGGCATTTTGGCCGATCAGGGCAACCCGAGTCGCGTAGGGTCACTCTTGGCTCCTACCGGTCCTTCTTAGAAGGAGCAGAGCCGCAGGACATCAAAAGCGCCGCATCTGCATCTGTCGTTGCCGGGTCTGTCAAGACAGGGAGAACTCTAGTAGACTCTGGAAGTACTCAGATTGGCAGAAGCAACTCAGCACTGGCGCTCATCGCTGGCGCTCACATTCAATCCACCGAGGAGGGCTGGCAAGCTGTGGGAGTCACCTCAGCTATGTCTTGCCTTCTTTGGAGGACGCTTAGAGATTAAAAAATTAAAAACATGTGCAGTGTGCAGAAGGCAGGATTCCGTCAATTTCCGGCCATGTGAAGAGTGCAACTCTGCCGTTCTCATTACTTTATCGACCATTCAGGGCAAGGATCGAAGCAGCTTGCTTCGATCAATTTTGGAACGTGGTGACTCACCCTGTGGCGTCCCTGGCACCAAATATATAGATACAGAGTTCAAACAGCATCGGCTTGTGAACAAATGTGAGAAGATTGAGAAGTGCATCTGGAGTGCAACTCAGAACCATTCGGAACCATTCAGAACCTCGAGCTGCTTTTGCACTGGAGGTCCATGCAGTGACACGGAGCTCCTCAAAGCCTTGGAAATCAAAGGTTTCAGGTGAGGATACAAACAAAACAAGACAAAACAAGGCGGCCAGAAGAAAACCTGGGGATCCCTGGGGAGGAAATGATGAAAATGATGGAAATGATGGAAAAATGAAAGCTGCAATCCAAGGAATCCAAGGAATCCAAGGAATCCAAGGAATCCAAGGCACAAGTATCAGTTTCGGCAAAGCTCCAGTAGTAAATGCCGTCTGGAGGGGCCTGCATTGCGCCAGTGGTCCGTTGTGCACCTCACCCGTGGCCGCCCTAGCCTCCAGCGCTGGAGTCGGAGGTGGTGGGGGCCGTCTGCTCCTCGATTTGCCTCTCAAGCACAGTGACGCCGCTCCGAAAGCCTCTACTTATCTCGTCTATCTGAGTCTATCTAGTCTTCTCAGTCTTCTCTCTATTATTCTCTACTTGTGTCTGTTCCTCAACGGCTCAAAACTGCCTATCTCAATGTACTTCTGCATGAGAGCACCATTCTCTTCCGACATGATCTCATCCTGGCTGCAAGTGCTTCCAATGCTCCTCGGACTGCAACACATCTATCATGCCGCTTTGATTTCTGGGGCTCACGCAGGCATCACATTGACCCACATGGTGCCCCCGTCTCGCCTCTCCTGCGGATGGCATGTACGTATCAAATCTTATCAACCTCCTACTGGGTCCTACCGGGTCCTACCGGGTCCTACCGGGTCCTACCGGGTCCTACCGACCTTTTATCCACTGGAAATGGGGATTGATATGGATCGATTTATAGTGACATACATACATATACATATACATACTGATAACATACTGCGTAATGTTCACACAGGACAGCTCCGGTGGAAGCTGCTCCCCAAGGCCCCAAGGGTTGGAAGTCCTGGAACTTCACGCAAATGCGATTGGGATCGCTGCTGCGAGAAGGTCCCAAAACCACCGCCTAGCGCTGCGCACCGTGCATCACCGTGCATCACTGTGCTAGCGCTATCGCAAATTGGTGCAAAGCTGTGGTGGTAACGCTTCATCCAGTGAGCCTTATCCATAAACGCTGCCATAATGTTATCACCTGCATAGCCACAAGCCCAGGAAACGGGAAACGGGACTGGAAATGGCTTAACGGCTCTTTGGGCTGCCTTCTAAATACAAGTCTCTCCGGGCCATGACATTCTGCCCTTCATGGAAGCCACCAGGAATCGGAGGTGGCTCAAAGATGCTCCTGCCGATTTGGAGGTGTCTCAAGGTGTGAGGTATGGTTGAGGTATGATACACAGAAGGGCACCACCTTTGACACAACCTTTAGGGGTCAAGGTTCATGCCAATATGGATGCGGGCGAATACCTTCACCTGAACAGGACATAAAGAACTAGATCAAGAAAAAAGAGCCTGCAATCTCAAAGGTAGCGGCAGCAGTAGATAGGAAAGAATAGGAAGAAATCCAGTGACAAGCATGTGGTACGAGGCTCAAACTCAAAACATGTTCTTCTGGTTTTCGTACGTGCTGCACACTGCAGTGTATTGTCTATATGACTTCGCCTACCGCACCAGCTGCACAAGAAACGCAAAAGACTTTTGTCAAAACAGGCGCAGCATGGCGCAGCATGGCGCAGCAATTTGTGGCACTCTGGCCTTCTCCTCTCAATCTTCGGCTCCCCTGACACCACGCTGCCAGAGCACAAGCAAAACTGAGCACAAGTGCGCAAGTAAGTCAAGTGAGCTTGTAAATTCTTCAAATTCCTCATGTTGCTCTTGGGATGGCTAGTTTGGCTTTGCATGGCTTTGCTAGATTGCCTTTGTGGTTTGCATTGAATGTTGCCGCGTCCATTGTGTAGAAGGGTATATAAATCTTGAAAGCCGGAAAAACGACGAAAAACGACGAAAAACGTAAATAATGAATGAGTGAAATTCAGTGAATAGTAATGTCAATAATGTTACATCGCACAATCAGAGATTTCCTCATGGGATCACTGGCTGTTCTGATCTTTGTTTCTTATGCTTCTTGCTTCTCCTTTGCTTCGCCTTCTCCACGCTGCTCTGCCAATTTTTCCTCACGTTCCTGGAGATCTAACAAGATCCGTGAAGATCTGTGAAGACCTGTGATCACTCTGTATGTCTCTGCGTCAAAGTGCAACTAGCGAAGAAGCTGGCGCACCTTCTCCATTTTGTCCAATCTCTCCTAGGTTAGACTTTGGGAAGCACACCACTTCTGTATCCCTTCATAATCTTTCATACACATGCGTTAGCTCATGATTGTGCTGGAGGGACAAAGCCAGCAGCTTACTGGTACCCAATTTGTCCGTGGAAGGCAAAAGTCCTGAGAATTTCTGGGCATGACTGCGTAAGTATCTATGCTCCAGGGTCATCCATGCCCGCAAAAAAAATGTGTTTTAAAATGTGTTTAAAGTTGTCTAGGCGATGAATAGGCTGGAATAAGGCTCCAAGCACTCCATCTTCAAAGAGTCTGGCAATAAGCTACGCAGCACAATTCGTTCCCGCAGAGAACCAGCCAGCTTCGGCCCTCGTCGCAATCTCTTCCCACCTGTCTTTTCCTCGGTGTGGCTTTAATGCACCTCTGGAGGAATCTGAGTGAATGAACTCAGAGGGGGAAAATAAAAACTTCTGGACCAAGGATGACTGAAGATGACTAAGGTCTGAAAATCGACAGGCCGAAGGTCAAAGCCATATTTGAAGGATCCTGTGGTTGCAGCTTTTGGATCGAATAATTGCGCTCGTGGACCGTTGTCCGTGATCGGGTGCTGCAAGCGAGGCGCCATAATGCGTGCCTTGTGAGTCATTGGTCACTTGTAGGTCGTTTGTGGGTCAACTTGTGAATGGGAACAATGCCATGCACTGGAAATTGTGTCTAAAGTTCAACTATTTCGGGGAGAAAGAGGAAATCTGTTCCAAATGCCGAAAGGTCACATCCGGATGATACGACGGAGCAACACGCTCCAAGGCTTGCGAGTGCAGCCACTGAGTTTTTGCAGCACTGATTTCTCTGCCCATGGCTTAGCTGATGCCTTCTTGGAAGGCCATCCTAGCTACACCAGGCTCAGAAAGCCTTGAGACTTGAGACTGCGAAGAAGGAATTGAAACAAATGCTGCTTCATGATGCTGTGTAGAGATAACTTGTAGAACTTTCTCAGACTGGGAGTTCTGGGAAGGCCAATGTTCACAAACCAATGCGGTAAAAATGAAATGTGTGATAAAGCTGGCCTGGCCACTCAAAACGATTCCCAGCGTCATTCCGACATTGGCGCCCACCGTACAAACCTTGCAAGCAGACTGCGCACAGGGGAATGGAAAGAACAAACGAAGGAAATACCATGCATTCAAGAAAAAAGAAGAAGCAGCACAACAGCACAGCACAAATACAAGGAACCCAAACCCAGTTGGCAAACCAGCACAAAGATGTCTATGCCATGCATTGATCTGGCTTTGGAGGCCTCATGAGCGTTCGTCCACTTCCAGAATCATTGCCAAGGCCCACGCTGCGCACAGAAAGAGCAAACCGCTCAGTCGTGGAATGGCTAGTCTCCAGCCCTGGCGTGCGCATTGGCTTTTGTGAGGTTCAAAAGGGAATCAATATTAATCGATTATTTATCAATATGAATCAATGGCATCTTTCTCACTCTGCGTGCAAACGGGTGAAACGAACAATTGAGAAGAGAAAGTGCAAAGCCGCAAAGCCAAGTCCTAATATCTTGGCACCTCAAGGTGCAACCAAGACATGGCTTTGACGGGACCACATTATGTGACAATGCATGGTGACATTTGCAGATTGAAATCTCTGGCCCACAGATGTTGACTTTGCACCTTCCAGTTCTGCCGCACTGCATCTTGCAGTCCGCATCCAGGAGCTTTGCAGCTGGAGATCTCACTAAAAAACATCGCATATGCACATGGAGCTGGTGCTCCGCAAAAATCCAGGTTGGACATGTTTGTCTTACTCCTGGAGGATGAAAATTCAAATAAACAACAATGACTTTGATTGCATGAAGGCCGAGATGGTTTGGAGTCAAAACCTTGGATCCATGTCAACTTTGGGCAAGTATCCATAGGTATCCATAGTATCCTGAGGTAAACCGAGGTAAACTGAGGCTACCTCCTCTCACTCCTCTCGCTCCTCTCACTCTTCTTACCCATCCAATCATCCGTCGGCATCTGAATCATCTGGCTGTCGGCTTGACTCGCTGAGAAGCAGCAGTTGGAACTCTTCCATTTGTAGCAGCTGGTTTTCTCCCTGAGTGCTGGAACAGATCCAATTATATACATGTCTGTGAATGATACAACTTCTATGCAAGTAGTGGGGACGGGCTAGGCATGCAGCAAAATATGACGAATGTATACGAACGTCATGCGGCCATATGCCATACACTTCTTGCCATGCTGCCAGCTGCACAATGGGAGCAGGCCAAGTGCTCGTCTGCAAGATCTTCACCGTCTGGACAGTGCAGCTATGGCAGCCACCGGTCACAGGTCAGAACGCCCGATGTGCATGTGTACATGCACATTACAGGTGCACATACCGAGGAAGAACATCTCTACTTTCCCTCTTGCATACTACGTCATACTACAGTACATTTTCGGGCACATTTACAAGCTGGAACCCACTTCGAGCCTTCTCCAAGACTTGGTACGTCTGTATAAGTTTTCGTCTCAGCGCGTCCTTATCTGCAATTGCTCCCAAGCGGAACTTTGTCTGATCCTCGTGGAAAGCATAGACCTAAGTCTTGGCAAACCAAGCCGCACAAGAAGTGACACGCTGAGTCTTCACCCAGGCTCACAAGGTGAAAAGATGTGAAAAGGTTAATAGAGCTGAGCCCAAAACAATTGCCCAAACCTGGTAGAAGGGGTTGAAGTCCATGGAGTATCGATGGATTTGTGAATAATCTGTCGCCTTTCGCTCCAAGGTGATCTCCGTCTGGTTGATGCTCTTGGAGTCCTCGTAGCAGGCTTCTGAAAAACAAATGCCAAGGAGATTCTCCACCAATACAGTCTGATTGAACACATTGGAAGATTTTGGAAGCACCTGATCTTTGGGCCGCCCTTCGGTCCTCCTGTGCCTGCTCAATTCGCTCCAGAAGACTTTCAGAGGCTTCTCGGGCCATGGACAGGGAGGAAATGTCCCAATATGCAGGTTGCGAGCGGAACAGATGTAAGGTCTCCTCGATCTCTTGCAATCGCTCCTGCAGTTCATCCTGTTCACGCAGGAGTTCCCGGACGAACTCGGCCCTTAGAAGGGCAATCGGCAGGAAACAGGATATGTTGCCCAGAGACTGCTGCAGTTTGAGATGGCTTCAGCTTCTTCTTTGACTGTTTTTCGTGCAGATAGTTCAAGCTGCTTTGTTTCAGGGAAATGTGTTTTCTTCGTTTGGCTGTGCCTTTCACCACTTGAAACCACAAATCTTGCTTCACACTTTCTTGCTGAAGCATGTAGTTGAAGTCTGGTGCCATTATATAAGAAATCAAGTGCATACACCGCCCCAAATAATTCTTCCGTTCATCCGCAGGAGAGAAAACACATTTTGAAAGAGTTGTCTGCTTTTTGGTAGGTATGTTGGCATGTTCATCAGGAGGAAGAACATGACTGCGTTTGCTCTTCGGCCTAAATCAGGCATTGCTATGGCCCCTGTTTAGTTTGGCCCCTGTGACCAAAATGCCAGAATGGCCAGAATGGAGACATTCACAGCAGGTTGACATTTGACAAAATGTGGCCCCAGGATCTCATGCTCTTGCAGTGCAACGGCTTTCCTCAGCAATATTACGAAGGCCAACACGGACCAGCAGCTTAATTTTGCTGGCCATTGCAGCATTACATGAAAATACATAATCAAATCAGAATCAAATCATCAAATCATAATCATGCATAACCAAAGGGCTGCGCCAACAAATGCCGTGCTCGGTATGGACCGGCGACCAAATCCCAGCGCATGCGGAAGTCTTCAGGCGACAGCTGGTGGCAAAAACCTGGCTGCAGAGATACTGTATCGAAAACGCACCAGTCGCTTGAGAGGCTGAGAGAACTGATAGTCTTTGATGTGATTTGATGAATTATTTGATGTTGTTTGCATTATTTGGCTCTGGGTTTAATTTGTGTCAAAATTGCATCCTGATCTTTTTTTCTTCAAACTTGTCCCCGTTTGAATCCAACTCCAATGAATCAGTGTCCTCACAACTGCCCTACCTTTTGGGGTACCGGGGTATAGCTTGAACCCCAAGTGAATCCTCCTCGCCTCGCCCATACTGGGGCGAGATGCTGCACTGCTGACAAAAAGGAGTAGATATGAGTAGATAGGAGTACCGGGAGTACCGGAGAGGAAAGATATGGAAAGATCTCAACATATCTCAATCAATTGAATCAGTTGAATAAGTTATCCAACTTGGGCCGTTGTTTTGACATCGCAACTTGCATAAGTTGCAGCTTGGGCACCTTCAATCTCCTCATACAATCTTACATGCTGCTGTATCCTGCTCAGTACAAGAACAGTATCAAATCGTGAAACTAAGCCCCAACAGCTCCACCATCCGAAATACTCCAACAAACAACGAACAACAAACACTAACACCAATTAGATCAGCAACGTCGATTGCAATGGTGTCCTGCATTGCATCTCGCTGATGGCATTTGGCAATTCATCCATGGAATGGCGCATTTTCACCAGCTCCACCACATTCTTCGGCGCCTTTGTGATCTTCGCCACCAAGCCTCAGCACACAGCCGCCTACATCCTGAGACATGATACCGAAAAAAATAGACACCGGTATCACTGGCTCTCTTGCTTGTTTAATCTGCTGTAATATGTGTCCAAAATATTCCAAGATGAGCTGCCTTAGCTCAAAACCATTTCACTTTGACTTTCATGATTCCCCTTCCATAAGCTCTTCAATTGATACATTCCTCAAGTTGTGAGGCATTCTGAAGGAAACTAACAAAACACAAACCAGGCTATCTCCCTAGGTCACCCCTAAATCGGCCCAAGAAGACCTAAAGGTTTCCTTGACCAAACATCATGGGAAGCCTCTACGTGCTGGCCTTTTTACGCAATTCACCAAACCACGCCTCACCAAAAAAAACTGTACAGAAATGCATGAAAGGGGGTTCAGGATCATTCTCTTTTAGTGGTTGCTAGTTCTGGTTGTTTGGGATGGTTTGTTTTCAGACTATTTTGGATTCATGTCCCGTTTTTACGTGTTTGACCCCTTCAAGTCTTGACCTGGCAAGAAAAGGCATCAATCAAGACCTAGGTTCCCAGCATAACACTTCCCGTTTACAGAATCCTTTGCAGGAAAGTCTCAGGTCTAAACCTCTCCTGTCCAGGAAAATTTGAAGCTGCTCCCAGTCCAAGACAAGTTGAAGAAACCATGAAATGAGGAGGTATGGAAGGGGAAACATGATAGTTTCCATCTCTGGCCTCGCTGAGCAATTGACTGGTTACAATGTTACAATCATCCTGCACGCGGCAATAAGACAGCTGGGCAGCTTCTGAAGTCAGAAGTAGTTTCGTCCATCTGAATTCGGAGTCGCCGGACAAGACCTGAGCTGCTCAACTCAGTTTCCCGCGATGCAAACCCACACAAAGTGCCGAAAGTGCCTGGCGAACTAGGCGGTTGTCTGCGCCCAAACAGGATATTTAATATATCTTGATATCATATCGTTGCAATCTTGTCCTGATTGTCATGCCACACATACCTTTACATATGCTTTGTTTTACAATGTTTTACAACTTCAACATCTCCAACGGCCTTGGCGATGCGGCTAAAGAAGAGATTTTAAGAAACAGGGCAGCCCTCAAGCAATCAGTTAAAAGCAGCGGAGGCTCATCCAAAACAACAGAACGCCTTTTCTACCGGGGGGAACCGTCACCGAAGCCAAAAGGCTATCCACAGCGGCACGATACCTGCCATGACAATCCACCGATGGGGTACGGACATGCCTTGCAATCACACATCCCCCCCCTTATCGGTGCGCTTGTCCTTCAAACGTCGCCGCTGTTCGGCTGCGGTCTGTCTCAGACCAATTGCTTCCGCTGTGTCCTTCAGCGACCACAATCCTTCCACCAAGGCCTTCTGGAGCGCCTTGTTTCCAAACCACTTCGTCAAGCCATCTGAGATCATGTGGTGGCCTGGAACCCATCGTGCAAAGGCGTTGCTTCTGTCCTCCAAAAGCGCCTGCTTCAAGACTGCAAGGTCTATCTGGATCTTTCGGTCGCTCGTCTGGCACTCACTGGTGAGCACATCAAAGCCTGTCTTCGCGTCAATCACCAGAAAGTGCCTCCAGCGATTAGCCCACAGCTTCCAGTCCTTCAGGATGAACTTGCCGTGGATGATCTCGCTGAGAGCCGCTCTGATGAAATCCCCATGCTCAAAGGCCGTTGCCGCCATAGATACTTCTGCGCTCATGCTGCAGCGCACCACCCGCTGGATCTTCATACTGGCAGCTTCAATGACCACCAGCTGAGCCTCGCCCTCCAAAATCTCAGGCTCGGCCAAACCCACCAACAGTCCACCTTGACTGTATCCACCAGGTTGCGCACCAAAAGCAGCATCGCTCGCTGAGATCACCACCAGGTTCTGCCAGTCGCGCAGCTTCTTCACCTTCTGGGTCATCGGCTGTCGTGCTCGATAGATCACCTTGTTCAAGAAGTCCAAAGCTTCCGCTGGCTCTCGGTTCATCAGTTGCTGGACGTGGGATACCCCATAGGCGATGTCATACCGCCCCTGCCGAGCCATCCAATTGAGCTGCCCCAGGATAGAAGACATAGCCAGCCGCATCTCTGAGGTCAAACTGGTAGGCTGCCGCTTCTGCGTTGTGCCATGTGTGAACTCCTCCACAGTCATCTTGCCCTTGCGCAGAAGGTCCTCTTCCTTTGCAACCTCCTTGGGGTCCAGCTTGTAGGTCTCCAGCAACTTCACCTTTTGCAGGTCCTTGGCATATTCATCCATGCTGTACTCAAACTCCATGGTGACTGGATCCTGTCGCTCCCATCTGCCGCAAAACTTCACCCATCCATCAGTGGCTTTTCTGACTTCACCGAAGTTCAGGCATTGGTGCACCTTTTTCCAGATCTCCTCACTGGTGGCATCTCCACAGTACCTGGTGTCATCCACGTGGATGCAGGCCAATGCTCTTAAGGTGCCATCCGGATGATGAGCCACAAAAACTCCTGGTAGGAGATCCAGTTCTCGCATGCCACAATGACAAATGGTCTCCTTGTACTCCAGGTACCAGAGTCTCGGACTTTCAGGCAAACCAAAACCACCCTTGGTCAGCTGCAGCAGGTCTCGGCGCATGCCATAGCCCAATTGCTCCTCGATGAACTTCTCGATGTAGTCAGGATATCCTTTCGGGATACGAATGTACACCTCTCTCTCAGGGAGTAGGTGCTTTCCTTGCAAGAAGGCACTTGACACATCCTCGTACTTCACCACCCAACCCATTTGCACGCTGATGAAGTTGATCAAGTTATGAGCCAAGGCTGCTGCCGTCGGTGCCAATGTTGGGAACTTGCCAGCATCAGGATCTCGATGGCCTCCCAAAACCAACCTGCCCTTGAGAACTGCCTCGGCCAAGGTCTTTCCGCCCTTGTTGGTCAGGACAAAGCGGCTGGTCAGGATCCGTCGCGGGTCAATCACCTTGTCCGTGGGCACTCCCTTCAGGGCATCATGGTCAAAGTAAATTTTCACCGCCTTGATCAAAGGCTCCTTGTAGGCCGCCTTCCAGTCATCAGGCAACATGCCCCATTGATACTCGAGGCGGGCTTTTCCTGTCACCACTTGATGACCATCAGCTGCGGCCGCCACCTTCTCCTTGTCGACGACGTTTGCACCCGCAACTGCTTGATGATGATCACGCTGTTGTTCCTTCACCTTCTCCACAATCTCCGCCTGTGCCCATTGTCGTGGTTCCGGTTGGGTCCAAAAAGCTTCATCAAGCGCCCATTCCTCGCAAGCATCTGCCCAGCATACTTCAAAGGCATCCTTCTCACAGGCCTCCCCACAAGCTTCTGACCAGTAGACCACACTCGCTGCTTCTTGTCGATCAGCTCGATCCTTTCGGGCTCGTTGTAAGGCAGGAGCTTGGCGGGACTTCTGAATGAGCTTGCGGATCTGTTTCACTCGTTGATTGGCTTTAGCGGCAGAGCTCCTCAATTCAGCTTCTATCAAACGAGATGGTCTCATCTTACTCTTGCTGAGCTCTTCAAACATCTTCTTCTTTGCTCCAAAGTCCAGGCCACTCGGCTCCGGCGCGTCAGCTCGGGGCATTTCCTCATCATCCTCCTCCATCAATTCATGTCGTTCTTCAGGTTGAAGTCGACGCACCAGAGCCGGTCCACTTGAACCCGACGAGAGGGAGCTTCGAAGCTGATGAGGAACATCATTCAATAGTTCCAATCGACGCACTTGTCTCATGCGGTCTTCCGCTTCCAACTCGGGAACCTCCCGCTGGATTGATTGAGGCATCTCCTCATCAGTGTCCTCCTCCTCAGCAATTCTGTTGGCTGGCGCTTTCCTTGGACGTTGTGGTCTGTCCTCCAGCTGCTTGGGTTCCTCCACCTGCAGTTTTCCCATGCGGATTTCATCCGCCATCTGATCCAAGAGGCCCACAATGAAGCTTGACCCAAGCATCTCATCCGGTGTCGCCAGCCTCACTTTCTCCAAGGGAAAGCTCCTCACCTTTCCTCGGATACGCACCCAGATGCGATTGGGCACATTCTGTTGCCGCTCCGCACAGACCACCAATCCAGGTCCATCCCAGCTCACATGGTCTTGGAGTCGACGTGATTGCCCTCGCCGATGAGGTGGAGGTTGATGAACGTAGACCGTCGTCCCTTCGCTGATCATCTCGAGTTTCGGTGGCCGTGACCGGGCATGCAAACCCTTTCTGATCACCTCGTTGGAGTCAATCCAGTTGAAGGAGTCCACCGCTGATGCTCTGATTCGTTCTGCTCTTCGTAGGGCTTCCTTCTGATCCAGACTCGCATTCATGGCCAACTTGAGATGTCCACTGCATAGCTGATCCATCAGAGAAGTTGGCACTGGTACATCTCGTCCTGTGATGGCCTGCAAGGGAGACATCCCCATCTTGTTGCACAGTCTGTTCTTCGCCCCAAAGCATGCTGAGGCTGCCATCTTGAGCTCCTCCAAACCTCGAAGTTGTTGAGCGGCAATGGTGCGCATCATCATCAGCTTCACCACTGCCCCATGTCGTTCGACTTGCCCTTGGCGCCACTTCGCCCCAGCCGGAACCACCTCATGTCTGAAGTCCAGGATGCGGCCAATCTTTTGGACCACATCCTCATATTCCTTGCCACCATCGGTCTGAAGCACTTCCGGGGGGCCAAAGATAGCACACCACCGATGTTGCAGCAGTTCTGCTGAAGTCTCTGCCGATGGCTGCTTGCTCACAATGCCCACATGGTACTCCGTGAGCCCGTCCACATCCAGATCCCAGATGTAGAAGCTGTCGGAGAGGATCTTCTCACCAAACCGCGTTGGTCTTTGGCCCGACACCTTTGGCTCAGCACCAGGGGGTCTCACTGCCTGACAAATCTGACAGCGCAAGCCTTCCGCTGTCTTCAGCACCACCTCTCCGCATCCGCTGATCTGCAGCATCCGTCGAAGACGATCAGCAGAAGGATGACCCAACACCACATGAAGATGAGCCAATGCTTGCCTCACCTTGTAAGGCCCCTGACGTGCACTGCCCTCAAAGAAGACATAGTCATACTGTCCTCCACGCCAGTCAGCCTTCTCCAGTTGTCGTCTCAGCTCTCCTTCCGGAGTGGGCAAGGGCTCCACCGGTAATGCATAGTGTAGGGCATTGGGTGGTCTTCCTTCTGCCAATTTGCGTGGTGCTTCCTCTTCACATTTCTCCCATGCGTACTCCGCCGCCTCAAGGATGTGCTCGCACAGCTCAATCGGCCACCTGGCCGCCAGTGCTGATCTCCTCTGTGAACGGCCCTCAAAGAACACACTTCCTTCAATGGGTTGATGTTCTCCTGGTCCATGACTGCACTCTGCACCGATCATGAGGCCCTCACACATGTAGTGGTCGTTGCTATCCAACGCCGTGTACTTCTGGTGAGGCTTCTCGTTCAGCACATCCTTCAGGCCAAAAGCACATTGCGCCACCTTAGCACGATGTAGTTGAGGTCGGCTTTCCATGAAGTCTTGATGCAAGGCCTCTGACTGCCAAGGGTTTTCCGTCATGACCAAGCGTCCATGCTTGGTCTGTTCATCCCACACTTCTCTCACGAACCTCCACAATGGGATATCCACCTGGCGATCGGCCATGATCTGATCGATGTTGGGGTTCAGTCGTTGGAACTGACTCCAGGGCCCACATCTCGGACTCAGGGTGATCAAGTCCGGCTTCTTCGTCCGGATCTCTTCCAACACCTGCTGTCGGGTGTGTGCATTTCTCAGGTCATGGCCATAGACCAGGTCAATGGGGCTATAAGCAGCCCAGCCAGCTCGTAGAGTTGCTACCTCCGTGAGGGTCCCATGGCCCGCAAAGATCTCCATGACGGTGTACTTCTCCTTGATGCGATGGACTGTGGCCAAGAGCGCATGGGTTTTCCGAGCCCCCTGCATGCCGTTCTTCAGCTTCTGCATCAGGCCTCGTTGGGGGTTCGCTCGTCCCCATACCTCGGCCCCACAAAGTCGCTGCTCCTCAGTCTCTGTCGCATTGCTCCGAAGTGGCCCCAAAGCGACGCCACCTCGTAACTCAGCAGATAGTTGAGCCATTTGGTGTTCCTCTTCCATTGCGCCTTCCCCTTGGACTCCTGGTGCACCGCTTCCTTGATCCTCATCTGCCACACCAGCTTCTTCCATAGGTAGGTGCGCAACCTGCTCCTCATGCTGCCCAGGATGTTGAAGGCCAAGTCGTCGCTCCACACGTTGCTCAGGGATGGATACTTGGCTCCCCATCCCGTCAAAGCTGCCGTCTCCACCTTCTTCTGAGCAGCCATCTCCGCCTTCTGGCGTCTCTTGTACACCAACTGCATCTCCTCTAAGGTCAGGTCCTTGATCTCCCCCATCACCATCTGCTCCGGCTCGTCCATGTTCCCATCCTGAGATCCTCGAGCTGCTGATCGTCTCGCGAGTGCCGGCTGTGAACTCGCCTTCGGAGTGGGGGATGCCATCGCTGCCTTGGCTCGGTGTTGAGGTCCTTTTCCACGACCTTTCATCTGGCCCTCGGCGATCTGCTGGTTCCGATCGACCTCCATCGCTCGAGGCGGCTCTTTTCGTCCCCTTTCTCTCAACTCCGCCAGGTGGATCTCTTCCTCCTGCAGCTTCTGTCGAAGATTCTCCTCCGTCAACGGGTTCGCCTCCAAGAACGAGCTGCTCTCTTCTGGGTCTGACATCTCCGGACAATGTGATGTCCGATGCCCCACACTGCCACATAGCCGGCAAATGGCTGGGTTCGGGATCGGGACCGAAGACATTCAACGAGGGCTCAGCGGTCGCACGGTCTTGATCCACTTGTGAGCCAAAAACTTCACGTTCACAAAGTTCATCAAACAATGCCACTTCTGCATGTGCATCCATCTTCCAGGTTTTTCGCTCTGCATTGTCCAAAACATCTACTAAATGAAATTCATCTATTCTCACTGTGTAATGACCAGCATTGTTCTCACTCAGTCCATAGTTTTGGATTTGCAGTTTTCGTGACTTCAAAACATGTTTCTCCGTGTCCAATTGCACTCCCAAAGCAGTGTGAGATTGTTTGGAAAGTAGAGGAGGACAAGGACCAGGAACCACACTGAAAGCCAAGAAAACCCTCTTTCCACCAAAAGTTGACTCCAATTGCAAACGATATTTGCTCTTCAACGTGTTTCCATCTCCAAACCTAAAAATCTCCTCCTCTGGCAAAACCTTCAACCAACGATCATGCTGTTGCCACTCTCTGACGACATCGTTCGCCCAATCAACACCTACCACATTCCGCATGCAACCCAGATCCAAAATAACTTTTCGTGCCAATTCCTTCATGCTCCACCATGTTTCATAGGGTACACTTCCAGTGGGATGACCTAGTGATTCAGTATGTGAATGTTGTGACACTTCCGAACCCTGCCCCATAGGTCCCAACACCATGTATGCTGCACGCTCTGAAGCGGACGTCACGATCGTGTCCTTGCACAAAGAAGCTAACAGCGACCACTCATGCCCTTCGTCAAAAGGCTTTCCCTTGGACGGAGCGGTGGTCACCAAAACTTGATTGCCCTTCTCCATGGCCATCTTGACCTTGGGACAGTCCTTGGCAAAATGCCCAGGTTCGTCACATACAAAACACTTCCCACTGCGCTGCTTGCGGCCATCTCCATCTTTCTTGTAGAAATTCCGCATCTTGCGAACTTCGGCCATCTTTTGACGTGCCTTGAACTGCAGTGCCAAGGCTTCATGCTCGGCATGAAGCACATCATTGGGCAGCCCTTCCATCTCGTCCAAACTTTCATCGCCCAAAGGTTCCTCAGGGATGCCCTCCAAGGATGTGAGAGTGTCGTCATCCTCCTGGAGCTCTGCTGCAAGCACTTGCTTGTCCTTCTTGTTGAACCGCATGCCCAAGAACCCTCGCTGCACCAGATGTTCTTCGCCTTGGGCACCTCCCAATTGTCCTTCAGCTTGTCCAATGGGAAAGCCAGCTTCACCCTCAAGTTCACCGGCCAGCTCCATCATGGCACCTGTGACGGCTGACTCGCTCTCGGCACCTGCATGTGTCTTAATCATAGCCTTGTCTCTCCGAGTGAGCTTTGCATGGTCCAACAGGTGACCCACAAAAAACCTTTCTCCCATGCTCAAAGACTCATCCAGTCCTTCCAATTGGCTACGATACAAACCTGCCCTAGTGATGTAACTTTCCAAGCTCTCACCCGGCAACCGATTCAAATTCAGCAGTCTTTTTCGATGCCAATCCACCCTATGCTTCTCACTTTGCCGGATGAGAGGACTTTTTTCAAGCGTCTGAAAGATAAGCTCCAGACCCGGCTTCCCGTCCACGTCCTCAGGCTCCAAGTGCTTGACAAGTTGGGCTGCTCGGTCCCTCAATTGAACCATGACCCGGGGACCCACTAAGTGATGAGGCAACTGATGTCCTTCTCCCCGTAGCCAGAACTTCACCGCTCTCTTCCAGTCGCGATAGCTCTCACCCTGCTTCGCCTTGAAGACCGGTGGATAGCTGCTGGAGACCTTTCCACTGACCTTCTTTTCTTCATCCTTATCATTCTTTTCATGCACACATACCACCCTTCCAGATGGTAAACCTCCTTGGCCAGGATCATCACCTTCAGATTCTGCCGAATGCGGTTGCTCTCCAACGTCTTCGTCTCTCCGAACCGCATCACATTCTTGATTTCCCTGATGAACTCGCCATTGACCTCGACCAGCTTCGTCATGCCACCAATGCCAAGGATCTGCACGACCCCACCCATCTCGTTCCCCTGCCTGACTCACGTAGATCCAATTTGCTCGGCCGCTACCCGATGACCCCGCCCAGGAGTCACTCGACCAGGCTCTTTCCTGCCACCATGAGTCATTCGACGAGACACTGGAGGCCATGTCAAAGACCTCAGCTTGATGACCGTAACCTCTTCTCTCAGTTCGCACCCATGGACTCGTCGATGGGCTTCGCCGTGTCTCCGCACTATGAGACCAGCCCCTGCTCGTCTCCTGCGGTCTCTCCGGCTCTTGCTCTTCTAACTCTTCTCTTTCTACTTCATATACTGCCCAACCACCACCATAGTACGAACTCATCGATGACGCCGTTCCCCAAAGGCCCAAGCCTTCCAAGAACAAAAAAACCAAAAGCCACCACAAGCGCTGATTGCCACCTCAAGCGCTGATTGCCACCAATGGCCAGCCCCTGGATCGAAACCGGCTCCGCTGCCAGTTAAAAGCAGCGGAGGCTCATCCAAAACAACAGAACGCCTTTTCTACCGGGGGGAACCGTCACCGAAGCCAAAAGGCTATCCACAGCGGCACGATACCTGCCATGACAATCCACCGATGGGGTACGGACATGCCTTGCAATCACACAATCAGATCGACTCTACAATCAGCTGGTGAGCAGTGACCGATAGTGACCGGCTTGGTCAGCTTATGTCAGCTTTAATGGCTGAGGCACGCTCCATCAACAAGGCTTGAGTGACCTCATGCTTCGCCGCCAGGGTTTTGCGAACATCCTGCAACATCTGCTCAGTGTGAATCAACATGTTTTAGCAAAGAACGAAGAGGTCTGGCTCCAAGCCATGAAGCTGAATCAAGCTCACAATTTTTCAAACCAGTTGGAAAAAAATAGAAAAAATCCGCCCACACCGCTTTGGCGGTGAAGGCGTGCTTATTGGGGGGCAACAGCAACACTAAATGCTCAATGACATTTGTTAATATAGCAGTCGCTATATCAGCTTTAGCTGGGGGGGGGGGGCCAAAAACGGTTTCGCACCGAGACCAGAATACGGTGGTGTTTTCGACATTTTTCGAGGATTTTTGGGTGTCTGAGCGCAAGAGGGTATTGAAATGGAATTTTGGGTCATTTTGGTAGCTTTCCGGCAATGGAAAAACGGCCAAAAATGAAAAAAACATTGTACATAGCAAGATTTTGCAGGGTTTTTGGATGCCAGAGCATTGAAAACACTGCAAAAACAAGTGTTTTGGACTGACGTTATAGCAAAAAACGTGTAAATTACCGTATGCTTGACTGGAAACATTACAAAAACACTGTCAAAAGCAATGTTTTGGAAGGATTTACTGCCTTTATGGCAAAAAACGTGTAAATTACCGTCTGTTTGACTGGAAACATTGGAAAAACACTGTCAAAAACAATGTTTTGGAAGGATTTCTTATATATATGTTGGAGTTGGCTACCGGCATTGGCACATGGAAAAATTGAAGAAAACACTGTAAATAGCGGTATTTTCAACGGTTGGGGAGATAAGGGAATTGGAAGCATTGTCGAACATGATGTTTTCGACCGGTTTTATGGCGACAAAAGTGTAAAGTACCGTGCTTTGAAGGAAACCGTTGCAAAAACATGGAAACACATTCAAAGAACACGGGATTTGGGGGACTATCTAGGCGTCGTTGTCTAGCTATTTGAAATTCCGCAGCTTGGAGAGCCTCCAAGGGAGGGAAAAGTGAAAATTCCATAGCTTGGGAAGCTGTCACGGCGGGGAAAAGTGAAAATTCCCTAGCTTGGGAAGCCCCCACGGGGGGGAAAAGTGAAAATTCCCTAGCTTGGGGAGCCCCCACGGGGGGGAAAAGTGAAAATTCCCTAGCTTGGGGAGCCCCCACGGGGGGGAAAAGTGAAAATTCCCTAGCTTGGGGAGCCCCCACGGGGGGGGAAAGTGAAAATTCCCTAGCTTGGGGAGCCCCCACGGGGGGGGAAAGTGAAAATTCTTAGCTTGGGGAGCCCCCACGGGGGAAAACCACCCTTAGCCCCTCTCACGGACCGAAATAAACTTGCGGTGTGGGCGGCCACCCCACGCGAAGCGGGGTGAATACTCAACTCGCTCAATTACTCAATTGAACCAGCCGAACTTTTGAATCGGAAGGTGGCCTTGGTAGTGACCTGAAACATGCCCACATTCACCACTTCCAGGAGCTGCCACCACAGCTCTTGTTGCATTTTTATCTCCTCACGGCAAGAAGATTGAGCAAGACACGCAGAGTCGAAAAAGCGGCAAAGAGATACAAAGAGAGGAAAGAAAAAGATAGGAAAAGATTTGGAGAAAGAATGAGGATTGAAAAGGATTGAAAAGGAACAAAGTTCTTTCAGAGCTCACGCTTCATTTTGGAGCCCGGCCTTGGAGATGGCTTCCTGGATCTCCTGGTTGGCTGGCTCGTCTTTGAAGAACGCCTCTACCATGGCTGCGGGATCTCGTCTCAACAAGGGCTCCAAAATCTGAAGTTTCTTCAAAAAGTCCACTGGACCAGCACAAGCACTCTCCAGGCACGACTGTATTCGTTGAGAGCCATCTTGTACCCACACCTCATCAAACTGAAATGTTTCAATCAGAGAAGGTGCTTCAGGAGATTGGAGCCGTGCTGGTATCATCAAACGTTCAAGTGGGTAGACCTCGTTCAGAGACTGCAGGCCAACGTTGTAAGCATCCAGAGCTGTAGAAACGAAGCGATCTGGGTGAAGAACAAAATCAAAATGTGTGAGATCGTCTGCTGGCCGCACCTCAACGGCGAGAACTGGGTTCTCAATAGAGTCCCTGAAGACGCATTCGGCATCGGAAAGGGACTCGACCATTGTTTTCACTGGAGCCAGTCGTTCCATGGTTGAAACATACCTCTCAACCGAGATCTTTGCCAAGTTCCGTAGGGTATCTTGCATAACAAGCCTTGCCAAAACGAGAAAACGTCTCAATTTGCCATGTCGATACAAATCTACATTCTTCTCACGCACGTTAAACCATCCTTTCTTCACACCGTCGAACTCACGGAGCACAATAGTCTGCAGTGAAGTTAGCCAGTCCTGGACATCTCAGGCCATAAAGAAGAAAGCTTCGACGCAATCCTTTAACAAGACCTATTGGGACCCTCCCCAGACCTCTAATACCTCCGCCTAGGCAGCTGAGTACCCAAAGTTCTGGTAACCTGAGTAACCCAAGTTGAATATAGGCACGACATGCTACGACTTATAGTTTAAAATACAGTTGAATCACATCTTTCACCAACACCGACAAGCCGGCAAACTTCGAATTCAAGTCGTAACAGTTTTCGAGCCTTTTTCATGGTCCTCTTTAAGTGCCATAGAAGCCTCTGCACAGGAGGATCGCAGGTTCTGTCGAAACTCATCCAGGCGCAAAGGCCGGGATACATCGATGCCGAAGATGTTCTCGAGCAAACGAGCTTCACTCTGTGCCTGGGCATCCGGAAATGAATTCGGACATTTTGCGGACTTGCCATACAAAACATTAAAGATCATTAAAGACTCCCTTTGCTGATGTTCCTTCACTCCACACCTTGATGCCCTGCAATGCCAAGACCACTTCTGGTCGGATCCGCAGAGTTGCGAAGCAAAATTTCGCAAAAGTCTCCTTGGTGCCGTTGTTGTTGTGCCGTTGTTGTGACACAGCGAAAGGAGTGAATTCCAACCTGCGACCCGGTAGCATGTGCCAAACTCTTGTATTGCCCCGACAGCCAATGACAGCCAATGACAGCCAATGACAGTCAATCAGGCCAAGTGTCTGAAAAACGATGTCTCGGGATACTGATCCTGCCCTGATGAAACAAATCTAGTTTGAAAACGTTGACCATGCTAAGGTTGAAAACGGCTAAAGTTTAAGCCATATCATCACAATTCATGCATCACAGTCCAAGCTGCAAATATATGCAGCTTGAATACATATATATATATATATGATTATATGTATATATATATATATACGTAATTATATTTATGTTTATATATATATATATACACTTGTGTGTGTGCGCAAATGCAACACAAATGAAGTCACTGCTTGTCGGCCTTCCAGGGTGCCAAAGGCTTGCTTAGGGCCTGTGCCACAAATCCCTTTTCCACATACGGCAGAAGGCTTTCTTGCAGCGGATCGGCATTGCCCTGGCGCAATTGACGGTGAGCGAGAAGGTCCGAGAAGGTGGTTTGACTTTCGATGAAAGGTCTTGAAGTATTTTACTCAAGAGATCTTAATGAGTCTTAGTGACTTAGTGTTGTTTTGCAGCGCTTTGCGCTGTCTCAGTTTGTGGGCGTACAATGGCAACCAATGGCAACCAATGGCAACCATGTCCAGGCCTGAAGGACATGAGTGTCAAACGTCACCCGGTTCCTCAGCGGTAGCATGTCAGCATATATCAACCAATTAGAAGTTGAAATCGAGAGACATAGATCGTAGATGATCGTAGATCTGGCATAGCCAAGCGCATAGCCAAGGGGCATAGCCCTGGCAAAGTCAAGCTGAACTTCCTGCAAAACGAACTCGAGTTCTGCCCCTCCGGCCGTGACGCCGGCTCTCTTGTTGCCGACCTCACTGAAGCCAAGAACTCTGCAAAATCTGACTGATATTTGACTTAATTATTTGACTTGCTTGGAGGTCAAATGGAGGCTGTTGAGATTCTGTTGATCTGTCTCTTATCATTCTTATCAGCGATGCCCAGCCGACAAATCCTGCCGAGGCACCGCTTTCCGAAGCCACTGCAATTGATCTCCATTCAACTGCTGGACGTCGTCAGTCGGCATGTTGTCAATGTAAAAATTGTATCCTCAGGCAGCACTAGGCCCACTAGGCGAAAGCCAAAAGCATCGAAAGCCCTACGTTTTTCAAATAACTGGACATGACTGGACACTCAAAGGCACCACAAACAGCGACTAAACCACCACAAACAGCGACTAAACCCAAATTACGCTGCTCGGAAAAGAGTCTCAACAGGAAATCCGCGGTACTTCGAGACTTGTAGGCCTCCTCAACCCGATTGGCAAACGCCTCCAGCGAAGCCCCAACAATGGCGATTCTTTCTTACAACAACTTGGAAGCTAATGCTCTCCTTGACAACAATCGTCTTTCAAGAGAAGTTTCCAGGAAGCATTCAACATCATTCAACTGTTCACTGCATTTCGCACCTCTGGGTCTTCGCCACGGAACATGACACGCAATCTGGGCAAAAATTCCATCATCCCACGCCGACCACCAAGTTCTGTGGGCTCAGCTTCCTGCGCCAAACAGAATGTGAAGCCAGGCTATGGAATGGCGGCATCGCTGGGAGCCCATTCCACCCAGGTCCACCCGACCCCAACGAACTCCTCGTACTGGACTTCAAACTTTTCCCCAGCAGAGTCGTATTGGAGCACCACTGCTCGTCGCCAATAGCCAGTTCCATCCGCTGGATCACGCCACAAGGCCAAAGCCGGCAGGGGCCTCTCCATGGTTAGGAATTTTGGGGCCCATGTGCACGCTTTGTCTTTTAAAAGAAGCTTCTTCAAATACTTCAACCATCCACTTTTTTCATCACATATGTTCTTCCATCTTCCTTGCCGTGGTATGGTGCCTATACAAGCCCTTGGTATTGGCACCCTTTCTATCGGAAGTTTTTGTTTATGTATCGTTTTTAACACCTGTTCAACAGCCTGTGCTTGAAAAGGCAAAGGCTGCAAGCGGCTCGTAATTAGACGCATTAGCCTTTTTGACGCGAGATACCCTAAACGTGACACAGCATGACACAACATTCCTTACACATCCTTACTACATCCACTGGGTGTTACAGTGGAAAAGGTTTCTTCTTGTGCACGACCTCTTTTCCCCTCAAAGAGTGCTACATCGATTTTTGTTTCTTCCTTCTATCCTCGCCCCGTGGGTGAAAAATGGAGCGCTCCTCCTGTGCTCTGACAAGGAATGGATAGCCCATCTGTAGCTAACCTTGTGGTCCTTAAGAGATGTTTTGCTATCAGGATTGGGGATTTTAATTGTTGTGTGCTTTCGTCATGTTTGTGTGTTTTTCCCGTGTTCCTGTTTTGTTCATGTTTTTTGATGAACCAAAGCAAGAAAATGCAGTTTCAATAGGCTTGACCTCCCCCTTATCTGAAAATATATTCTCTTCATTTGAATTCATTCTTATATGAAAGCAATGTTTCTTAATGTTTCTTCCTTTGCAGTCTCTCTATCCTGGATGTGGTCCTGGATGTGGGGCTCAATTACTATCCATTCATTGTGCTATGGTTCAAGTGTGGGGATACAAACTTTTGTGAACCCTGAAAGCTGGAGCTGCTTAACATCTTGGACTGATCCTTTAGATGCCAACTTGTTCCATGTCATGAACCTACTGTTTGCTCAGTGCAAAAGCTTCAGAGAGATAGGTTCTAGAATTAGTAACCCATACATGCTCAACCCCCGCAAGCACCTTTCTATTTGATAAGTCCATCATGACTGCACAAGAAAATGCATGTGCATATTCTTCACAAAAACAGATTAACCCTTTAAAAAGGCAAAATTATTGTGATTTACCGTATTCAATATGTTTCAAAAGTGCGGCATTCCTTATGATATACCTGGTGAAGAAAAATCCGTCATTACGGGCTGCACACTGCACTCTTTCTTTAAAACAAGACAGCGTTCCTTCAAGAAACAAGAACATCTGGATATTGTGGATCATCCCTGCTAATGACTCAGTTTATCTTGGAAAAGTAACCCTTTCTTTTTAAAATACTCAGCCTTCCTGGCAAGTTTCTCACACAAATTTCAGCATGCTTCTAACATACAGCATTCCTCAGAAAAAGGTTGTGCTCCTTACAAAGGTGTAGCGTGCCCTGCTGATAAGGAAGCGTCGTTCGTTCACAAACTGCTTTCTTTCTTCTAGACAGCGCTCTTCATTCAAAAAGTCTCTAAAGGCTGCAGTGTTCCTTTGGAGAATGCGATGTTCCTGTACAATATGCAATATGCTGTTCAACATACTTAAAATGTGCAGCCTTCAATTCTTCGATTCAATGCACGAATTCAGAAAGGGAAAAAAATATAGTGTCGTTACAGAAAGTACAGAAAATTGTTTCTCGCAAACTCCTGTGAAGAAGCAGTATTCCTCAGGAAGAGATAAAGAACTCCGTTTTTCTCAAGACAACAATCCTTCACTGCTGTTTGAAGCTGCAAAGGAAACACTTCAGTCTTTGACAGGAATGTTGCACTCTTTTCAATCAATTGAATATCTTTTTTAGGTGTATGCATACGCAGATGCAATTTAAAAAATGTAGTAAAAGAAAAACATATACAGTAAATATCAGTAAATCATAAACAACATAGAAATGGAGCTCCATTTGAATCTTTGCAAAATGTTTTTCGAAGTTTCTTTGTTTAAATTCCGCAAACCGGCTCTGAGCATCCAGCCAAAGGGGGCCCTTTAGATTTTTGTTCAGTTTTAGGCACCATGGCCCAGGATCTGGAGGTCTGGAAAAGTTCAACACGAAAAAAAGTCAAAATATGTCAAACATAAAAACTATTTCCGCATAAATAAAATTAAATAAATAATAAGCAAACTAAGCAAACGCATAAAATACAAATATATATAAATGGGATTCCAGCAGGAAATGCAAAAAAATAAATAGTGTTTTCTCTTCATCGTATCATCACAAACTATGCCTTCGACGCATAGGCCCTATTTTTCCCTCATACGGGGCCTCTCCTCACCTGTCTCTGGATCTTTCGCCAAAGCTAGCCACTCGAAAGGGCTTCGCAAATCGTAGTCTCGGTTGTCAAAAACCTGTCGAATGAGTTGAAGTCCGGACAGTAGCATCTGAAGCTGACAGCAGCTGGCAGCAGCTAGACACAATCACTTTTGGAGGAGAAGCAGAGGAGGAGGTGCTGACACAAAATCTAGAGACCCTCACCTGACAGGTGGGGAAAACAAATCCAAATCCAAGTTTGCCGAGACACGGATAGAGGCAAAGGGCTAATATCTTCGTACCAGGGAAGTGTGACATCAAGGCCTCTTTCAATGAGAAGCTTCTGAATATCCTTGGCCAAAGCTTGGCACGAGTTTGAACAGATAGCGCGGACTCAAATGCAATACCGGACAAAACACGGCAGCTGTAAGCTGGTCATGTCTATAAATATTACACAATATATCATATTACTTTCTGTCAAGGTTCTTGTGACTCATACCTCTTTTTGAGTCGTTCAATGCGAAGTCGACGAGGACATCTGCCGGACACAGTCTTGTGGGACCCTATCACCTGGCAACGAAGGCTGAGGAGCTCTATGACTCCGATGTCTCCCATTTCTCTACCCAGTCGACCATCGAAAGTCGAAATCACCACGACTTGTCCTAAATTCTTTCCACAACATGTCTTTAAGCATCTTTTAAGCAATGCACCAATGATGACCGATGTGAGGCAAACTGGTACAACAGATGGGACAACCCATTCTGGATGGAACAGCTCGCTGGCCTTAGGCTCGATCACGGCATACTTGGTCAGCGGGATAGACTCCATCAAAGCCGGCACATGTCGTTTCCGCTGCGCAAAACCATGTGCACTCAAAGGGCGAGGCTCCCTGCCAAAATCTCCCGAAGCTAGGCAATGTTCACATCTCTGAAGATCTCTTAGCCAGCTGCATAGTGAGCAGTTCAATCAACATGCACAGCAACCATAATCGATCATGATCGTGATGTCTTCACATGTCTATCGATACTTCACCCAAAGAAGCCACAGTTCATGTCTATCGATCAAGAATTCTGTCCTACCTGTGTTTTTGAAGCGTCTTGTTTTCTCATTTTTCTCTCGCCTCGTGCTGCGAAATTCGCGGCTTTGCGGTGGCCCTGCTAGCTTTTGCGTGCCCGGCTTGCCCTGCAGACTTCCAGGGCTCTTTAGAAAAAATACGGGGTTAAGATGATTATGTTAATCAAAGGAAGTTTAGGGGGAGAGACTTCCGTGTTACGGACTTTTAGAATGTCAGGGAAAGAGTTAGTCAAAGAAAGAGTTAGTCAGGGAAAGGTTAGTTAGGGAAAGAGTTCATCAGGGAAAGAGATAGTCAAAGAAAGAGTTAGTGAGGGAAAAAGTTAGTTAGGGAAAGAGTTCATCAGGGAAAGAGTTAGTCAAAGAAAGAGTTAGTGAGGGAAAGAGTTAGTTAGGGACAGAGTTCATCAGGGAAAAAGTTAGTTAGGGAAAGAGTTCATCAGGGAAAGAGTTAGTCAAAGGAAGAGTTAGTGAGGGAAAGAGTTAGTTAGGGACAGAGTTAATTGTAACTTTTAGAATGTCAGGGAAAGAGTTAGAGTTAATTGTAACTTTTAGAATGTCAGGGAAAGAGTTAGTCAAAGAAAGAGTTAGAATGGCATTGCAAGTGGTGCTGGTGGAGGAGTTGCCGATGGAGTTTTGAAGGAAGTCTCGCACGAAATGCGTTTTTGAGAGATAGCAGATGCATGAAACCCTATGTTTTTCCATACAAAGTCCGTCCCCGAACCTCGATGATCTACCTCTGCGGTGCGACGGTTTCGAGACGGTCTCGTGTGTGGTCGGATCATGGGCGGATCATGGGCGGATCATGGGCGGATCATTCTCGGATCGGTTCCGCATTGTACATGGGGTTTCACCTGTTTTTCGTGCATGTGCGGTCGACAGAATTCCATTGTGATTTGCAACTGTAGGATCGTTCCCGCAATGTAAATGGGATTGCAAGTGGTGCTGGTGGATGAGTTGCCGATGGAATTCCATTGCGATTTGCAACTGTAGGATCGTTCCCGCAATGTAAATGGGATTGCAAGTGTTGCTGGTGGATGAGTTGCCGATGGAATTCCATTGTGATTTGCAACTGTAGGATCGTTCCCGCAGTGTAAATGGCTGCGTCAAGGTTGCTTCGTGCTGTGGCTGCATTTGTAATACTATTGTCTTTTGCAGCTGGACTTCGTAAATCGTATTGGAGTGGCTGCATGAAGGCTGCCACAGTGATTTGTCAGCAGATTTTCTCCATTTTGGCGCTAGTGATTTTCCTTCTAAAAATCCTTTTCAAAAGTGCTTCAAAATCGTCTTTTTTTCGCTCTGGCGTCGAGATCCGGTTTTGGAGCTACAATTTCCGACGCCGTTGCGCGTAGTTCTATTGTGCTTTGCAACTCAGTCTCTGCAGATCGCATTGTAATGGCTGCGTCAAGGTTGCTTCGTGCTGTGGCTGCATTCGTAACTTTTGCAGCTGGATCTCGGAAATCGTCTTGGAGTGGCTGCATGAAGGCTGCGACAGTGATTTGTCAGCAGATTTTCTCCATTTTGGCGCTAGTGATTTTCCTTCTAAAAATCCTTTTAAAAAGTGCTTCAAAATCGTCTTGTTTTCGCTCTGGCGTCGAGATCCAGTTTTGGAGCTACAATTTCTGACGCCGTTGCGCGTAGTTCTATTGTGCTTTGCAACTCGGTCTCTGCAGATCGCATTGTAATGGCTGCGTCAAGGTTGCTTCGTGCTGTGGCTGCATTCGTAATACTATTGTCTTTTGCAGCTGGATCTCGTAAATCGTCTTGGAGTGGCTGCATGAAGGCTGCGACAGTGATTTGTCAGCAGATTTTCTCCATTTTGGCGCTAGTGTTTTTTTGTTGCACGTAGGTTTAGAGCAGTGGGAAGTGTGGGGCGTAAAGAGTGCAGTGTGAAGTGTGAAGTGTGAAGGAAGCAGTGGGAAGTGAAAAGTGTGAAGTGTGGAGTGTGAAGTCTGGAGTGTGAAGTTTCAGTTTGGAGTGCGAAGAGCGCAGTGTGAAGTGTGAAGTGTGAAGTGTGAGGTTTGGAGTGTGAAGGAAGCAGTGAGAAGTGAGAAGTGTGAAGTGTGAGGTTTGAAGTGTGAAGGAAGCAGTGAGAAGTGAGAAGTGTGAAGTGTGAAGTGTGGAGTGTGAAGTGTGGAGTGTGAAGTTTCAGTTTGGAGTGCGAAGAGCGCAGTGTGAAGTGTGAAGTGTGAAGTGTGAGGTTTGGAGTGTGAAGGAAGCAGTGAGAAGTGAGAAGTGTGAAGTGTGAAGTGTGGAGTGTGAAGTTTAAGTTTGGAGTGCGAAGAGCGCAGTGTGAAGTGTGAAGTGTGAGGTTTGGAGTGTGAAGGAAGCAGTGAGAAGTGTGAAGTGTGAAGTGTGGAGTGTGAAGTTTGAAGTTTGGAGTGCGAAGAGTGCAGTGTGCAGTGTGAGGTGTGGAGTGTCGAGGGAAGGACACGGTCGGGACAGGTTGTCTTTGAACTATAGGTCATTTATGTTTGGGAAACTTCCGCCGCCGGCTTGCCCGGGTCTATGTTATAAGTTAATTTAGGTTAAGGTCAGTGGAACACCTCGCCTCCACGAGGAGCACTTCGCTGTAGATGGCACGCTGCCGCGCAGTGCGTGGTCGCTGCAGCGCTGAGCTGGGGCGCATGACCATGGCACATCGAATCAAGATCAAGACAAATCAAGCCCAGAGACAGGCCCAAGAGGATCGGAAGAGGGTCAGCAGAAAAATAACTTGACATGTCCTGTCGGCTCGTGAACATGTGCGGCCTGTCACAAGAAATGTTGCTGCTTCCAAATGCTGGCTCGCCTTGCCATCTGGCCTTCGGTCTGCCAAATAGTGCCAAATGGTGCCAAATAGTGCTAAATAGTGCTAAATGCCAAGATTGAACCTCCTGATACATAGTATGTATAGATGGCTGCAGTGGCGGCTTCACAAGGTCAAGCTGCAACATCTTCAGGCACATCAATGGGCAGGCTCTACACAGCCACATATGCCATGCGATGCACCAGCTTGCCTGGTGGCAGGCTAGCAAGAATTCTAGGCAAAGCCTCAGGAAAGGCTAGAGTCTACTAGAGTTCACGGCGATGAAACTTGTGGAAAATTCGTCGCTGTGGTTCAGACGCCGCAAGGAGAAATCGCCAAATGGAGAAGGCCAAAGGATTCGACGCCCTCAACCTGCATTGCTCTAATTTGCATTTGACTGATTTTGTATGTGATTTAGGTTCTTTCGATTCCACTTCTGCCAGCTCACTGTTCCCTGACCCGAAGCAGCGGCGCGGCGGATCCCTTTTTGTGACTAAAGTGCTGATGCCACTAGCTAAGGTCTGGCATGCTGCCACTTTGCCTCGGCTGGAAAATCTGAAGGCTCTCATTCGAGGTCAGCATTGGTTAGCACGTGCTGTTAGCATAGTTGGTGGATTTTCAGGCATATGACAGCTCGCACGGGCTGGACCCGTGATTGCTTGATGCCCGCCCCCTGCCGGCTCTCTATTTACGGCTGTTCAAGCACGGTTTGCCCCAGCAGGTTGCAGTCCCCATAAAACCATAAAATCGGCACATGTCGGTATAGGGTGTATTTCTATACATTCCTACTTCTAACAAACAAAACAGACTTGGACTCTGCAGCCAAGCCACCCTTGTCCAAGGGTTTGGCCCAGGTGGCTTAGCTCGTCCACAAACTGCACCGGTGAGACTATGTCGGTTGAACCATACGTAACCTGCCGTGGCCATGCGCAATCTCTCCCCCTAAAGCCATTGCCTTACCACGAACACTTGTACCGCCTGCCGACCAGAGTTCTGCGCCCAGTCTTGCAAGCTTTGATGCTCCACATAGTTCCCACCACCTACTACCTTGCCCAAGCTGCCCAGGCTGCCCAGGCTGCCCAGGCTGCCCAGGCTGCCCAGGCTGCCCAGGCTGCCCAGGTCAAGAAAATGAATCAAGGTAACTCTAAGGTGACTTGATGCGACTTGGTTTAACCGTTCTGGTTTCAGCAATGCAGTAAAAGCCCCGTGGACCAAGTGGACCAAGCCCCATGCGAAGGTCATAGCTCTTTTAAACGGTGCCCGGATTCGCGGAACATCAGCTCCACGTGCTGGTGGAGCCTGAGCATTGCTGAGTTGCATGGGATCCGCCAAAAGTTTCACATCTTGAATCATATTGTAATGAATCATCCATGACATGAATCTACGATATTCTATGATATTTTTTTTTGATATTGAAAATTAGTGGGCCTTGGGACACGTTTCAACACAATATCTTACATCTTGCATCGACGCACTGAGTCACTGAGCCTGAGGCCTTGGGGTCGAGGTACAAATAATTCTCTGTAACTCCACCCTGCTTTTGCTCCATCAAAGCTTCCACGATCTGACCTCACCCCGTCTGATGCTTTCTGGGGAAATTCTGCCAGCTCTTTATTTTGTTCGCGACTGAGGGGCAGGTAGCTAGCTCCTTCTTTGATGCCACGATGTTCCTCAGTTGGTCTTGACATGTCTTGACCAAAGGCTCAGAAGTGCTGCAAAAACGAAAATTGAGCAACCAGTGTCCAGCATGTCCAACCCGGTGGTGCCGCACAAGCCACTTGATGCCACTCATTCCGGCAGCTAACCTCATCTTCTCATCAAGATTGTCTCAAAACGAAGTACCGAGACCCAGAAGGAAATACTGAGGCCTGCGTCAAAATCATGATGCTGCTACGAATGTAGCCTCAACCTTCCAGGGCCCTAGTCATCTTTAACTTCAACTGTATATAATTATAGGTCATGCCATATTAATATTAAGGGACATAGACTATAGAGCTATAATATGAATCAGTAATACAGGTACGATATGTATATATATATAATTATATCTCTCTCTCTCTCTCTCCGTGTGTGTGTGTGTGACATATCTGATATATTTGTGGGTGGACATATGCAGCTGCGAGGCAATGCATCACCAGTGGCCATGAAGCGGTCTGCTAAGCCACCGAAAGCCCCGGCCAGAGTCCCAGTGGCTCCACCTGCCGCACTGCGAAAAAATCGCTGGAGATCTCCATGCCGGGTCGATGTGGGTCGATGTGAGTGTACATCCTACAAAATCGAAACGAAACGACTCCTCTAAAATAGAGACTCTGTATGACCAACACGCATCATGCTCTTCGCATGATAGATGCAGAATGATGTGCACATTGAAACGATCAAAATAAATGTATAGATGCGTATGTGGAGTCATTTAGGCCTGTTGTTACAGTTGAAGTCGTGCTGGGCATCGCCATATTTCGAATGCTCTGCAGGTACTGCCTCAGCAACATTCCCCCAAATGCTCAGGCCCCTATCCCCTCAAGCCACCTCAAGCTCGAACACCTTCAGTGTCTCTTCTTGTTCCAGCATCCGGCTCAGCAACATGATATCTGTGGAATCTGTGGTTCAAAATGTTCAAAGCAAGCCAGTCAAAACATCTCACCGCCAAGGCACAAATACCTGACACCGGCAGCATCACCACCAGTGTTCTCATACGCATCTACTAGACCCTGCAACTGCTGCTGCGAAACACTGGGTTTCGTCAAGACCTCGGGGACGTGTTCGAGGTGCTTGACTGCTTGACCATCGGGAAGAAATCAAAATCTGCTGCGCTAAGGCATCTGTCATTGCTGTCACGGCTGTCACGGCTGTCACGGCTGTCACGGCTGTCACTGCTGTCACTGCTGCTGTGCAATGTGTGTGTGGAACTGTGCGGAATGGTGTGCAGTATCTCGGTATGCTCTTGGAGTTGTAGCTGAGCATTTTGCCAATATCATGATAGCCTCAGCTGCCAGCTGCGAGCAATGGCTGTGAAGAAGCCACATCACACTAAACACCGAAGATCTTCTGAGATTGGGTATCCAGAAGGCTGTGGGAAGGCCATGGACAATCTATGACAATCTTATGTTTCTGTATCAAGGCCAAGTTGGACCGAGAGACTCTCAGCTTGTCTGCCAGAGTACCCTTTTGTGAGGCATTCAGCAGCTGCTCCTCGGCTTTGAGCAGACTTCTACATGGCCAATGGCACAGAGTTCCACAGAAGCAAAGGGATGCGAGTGGAAAGCCTGGAAAGTCCACTGGAGAGTGAAGAAAAAGTGAAGAAAGTGTAGCTCTGCCAGTCATTTGCCCTTGCCAACAGTTGAATGCTTTGCCGGTTTTGCCTGGCAAGAGGCAAATGGATACAACTCCCACAAGGAGGTCACTCTTCGCCAAGAGTCTAGCTGAGATATGGAGGTACCCAAGGACTGCGAGGGCAACTGATCCTCCAACTCGTAATACCTTTTCAGATGCAAGGACAATGAGATCAATGAGTAACAGTTCATGTTGCGTCAATCGGAGAGAGTCTCACAGCATTGGACTCTCAAGAGCCACATGAGCCACAGCCAGTCTGCTCAGTCTGCTCAGTCTGCTCAAAACCTCCTACTGCAACATACTGCAACCTAACGCGTGTCCAACGCGTGTCCAACTCATGTCCCACAGTCGGTGAACCTGTCCAGTTCGCGTGCTTTCACCTCTGCCACCAGCGCATGAGCGATGTTGGTGTGCATGTCCTGAACACCACCGTTAAAGATAGAAAGGCATGTTGACTCCAGCATGATCATTTCATGAGTAAATCGATGTCCGTCAACAGAATGAACACTGATGCTTTAAGACTGTGATCTATTTGATCTATTTGCAGTATAACGAGCCAGGGCCAAGCTGCGATACTCCTCTTCTTTTCTGTCCTCGGAAGGATCCGTTCCAGTGAATGGGTTAGGAACCTGTCGCTCATTCTCGTGAAACAAGTGACACCCTCTTCGTGACATGGTTTCATCCTTCAACATATCATCATATATCCTCATATCATCAGACTCATGCAGCCATCTGACTCTGGCATCCCTAGCAGCTCTAGCAGCTCTAGCAACTCTGGCAGCGCAAGCTTATTTTCCAAGGCACATCTCTGGCAGGGCATTGATGGCAGCGGCCAGCCCAGGCGCTAAAGCCTGCGCGCCGTCCTGGATTTAAACGACTCACTCGCATGATTTGCATGACTCGCATGACTCGCTGTGCGCGTTCCTTCACGTCCTTGTCACATCCGTGTCCGCATCTCTTTTCTTTGACAGGAGAAAAGTTTGAAACTCATACTGTATGGACTCATGCTCATAGAAAGAACGGATCGCAGAATTCACACAAAACTACAAGCAGCCGTCCTCGCCACCAGTATTTGCCATTTCTGCCCTTTTCTTTTCAAACTCCTTGCAAAGATCCAAAGATCTAGCACGACTCTGCGACTGTTCTGAAGGCTACTTTGAAGGGCGAGTCCCGATTCCAGCCTCTATGGCTTTTGGTACCTCATATCCAAAGCTGGAAATACTTGCACAGAGTACCTCTTGACTTAAGGAATCTGAAAAGTGAAACTAGCAGCAATGTGGTTTAAAGTGTAAAAGACGAGCGCCACTGTTTGAAGCATGGATCGTAGTCGGGGCAACGCTCAGTGCATCCAAGATGCTGCATTGAGAACCTCAGGAAACTGGTCGCCAGCGTGAGCTGTCCAAAAGCTGTCCTGGTCATCCACGTCATATGACCTGCACTCCAAAGCATTCCACAACACCTTTGAGAGGCACACAATCACCTTCAATATTGTTCAATTTTCATCAATTTTCACTTGAACTCCCTTGACACACAGTGACTAGGGCATTCTCCGCATTCCACGCGGATGGTCGGATGGAGGTTGTACCTAGCTTTCGGAGGTGCTGAAGCATCATCGCTTTCCACTGGCACCTTGTCAAGAGCAAATCTTGAAATGCAGAGCACTTCCGCAACTGCGCTAGCTGCAAACGATTCCATGTTGGAAAGGTTTGACAGGATATGGTAGGATATCACTCAACAGGATAGAGACACTTTGTATCAGCCCGTTCGTGCCGTGCGGTTCGTGCCTGCATCTTGTTGAGCCTCATGCCAAGGACATCATGCACCATCGCCTTGCGGCTAGCAGGGCTTGCAGTCTTGTGCACACCATGGACTCAGTTTGATCTCAGCATGCGACTTGCATAATTTTGACATTCTCAGCATCCTCAGCATCCTTGTCAATGCTTAAAATTCAAGCTGCCATGCCTGGTAAGTCCATGTATGGCTCAGCATCGTCACCAAATCCTGATGGATCTTGCTGCAAGGTCCCGAAACCGTATGAAGTCTGAGCCCCGAACGATATCTCGATCCAGGATAATTAGCAACGGCCCTTAGTCAGTTTGAATCTTGTGACAACTTGTGTGTTGAAACTCTTTTGGTCGGTTGCTGGATCCACGTGTCTGACAACAAAAAGAATCAAAATCCATTTTGCACAGCAAATGTTTGAAGTCGGAAAGTGTCATGATTATTCAAGATGATTCATGATGATTCATGATGATCATTATGATGATCATTATGCGCCAGACCGAGGAGAGACCACAAGCTGCACTGTGGTGCACCCATTGCACCGAGCTTCGACTGCCACCGGGCACCTCTGCACCAGTGCGAGCAGCAGCAAACAGCTCTGCGGCTACGCCACCACTGCGATTCAGCAGCTCGCGAATCCGCTCCTGGCACAGCTCCACACAGCTCCACACCGCTTCAGCTCCAGCTTCAGCTCCCGTCAGAATGCTAATCTTTCAGATCTGATTTTAGGACCTGAGAGAAACACTTGAAAAGGATGACCAATCCTGAACCTCCCCCGATGCTGCATGTCGGGAAATGCAAATCAATCATCTGAGGTCTGAGATTTCAATCTGATTCAACATGTTTGCTGAACGTTTGCTGAGGGTAGTCAGTGTAGTCCTCTAATCGCTCTGCAATCATTTGCGCAGCTTCCCCAGGCGGACACCGAATCACCGGCAGGACACGCATGGTAGCTACTATGGAGAGTAGACCGTCGACGATCCGCTCAATGTACCTCCGGGTATAGTTTCATTCTATGCCACTGCGCGCACAAAAAATATAATTGACTACATGTTTTTGTTTCGTTTGATCACAAAACATATATATATATATGCGCGTGTGTGTGCGTAGACGAAAATATTTATGTGCCATGGTCAAAAACTTGGTACAGGGTTTATGGTCATCCATCCCATAATAATGGCAATCCCTGCAATGGGTATATAAACCACCATCAATGGATTGCTGAGCAGCCCTTTTCTGGGGAAAACAACAAATATTTTGACGGAATCCTGCGCGAGCGAAGTCGCAGCACCAACGCCCCTTCCCGGTTAAGGGGGGCACGAGGTGTCAGAAGGGTAGTCCGAGAATGAAAAGAGAGGGTGAACCATGAAACTGTTGTACGATCGAGTCAAGCATAACTGCAAGCGGTTGACACGCGGCCAAGGCAAGCACTCTGCAAAAAACGCGTGGTAAGCAAAGGAGGTCAACGACAAGCCAAGCAACCTCAAATTTGGGAAATGTTCATTGGTCTCAGGGCCACGTCAAGATGACACAAGCAAAACACGCCGTAAGGACGACAACGGGCAAAGCCACATGTTGGGTCAAGCCACAAGTCAAGCTGGGAACACCACCTGTCATGGGTTCATCTCGTCTCTACCGTTTTCACTCTTGAGCGTCTTTGGCGGATTTTCTTTGTTCTGTAAGAGCCAGGAGCCATCAAAGTGCCACCAAAGGTCATGTGGAAAGCCAACACTTCTTCATGGTCAACATCCAAGGCAAGACAAGTGAAGATGGGAAACTCCAACCCTGACAAGAATCTCGAGGCATGGCTCCACCCTGAGAAACCACCACAGAAAAGCCCAATGACCTGGTGCAATCCATCGTCGCGACCTGTGCGACATTCTGGGGTAGGCATCACACCATCTCCATCAGAGGACACATCCAGCAGGTCAGCGAAGACAAGTGCCTGAAGACAAAACACGGATTTGCAACCTTCAACAGCACACGACGACGACTGGTCCATGGTGACCATCAGCAGGAACCTGTCTGTCACATCGTGAGGGCACCTTCCGCGTGTCAACCAAAGTGACCTAAATTGGTCCCGAACCAAGCTGTGGCAAGAATCCACACGGCAAGCCAAGAAGACACAGGACCTGCTCATCAAAACAACTTCGAAGTCAGTCAAGATGCAAGTCACTCGGTAATGGCATGGGCACGCAACAGGCGACAGAGTGAGGTACTTCATCATTTGGAAGAATGGCCCACAAGTTAACTCCATGGCTCAATTGGTGGGGCGCCACGCCACCCCTCCCACCTCGCTTCGAGGAAGCTTGAACCTTGAGGCTACCAATGTTTTGACCATGGCAAATGTATAATGCGTACTATATATATTCAGTATATATATATGTATTATATATATATGCCGTCTCATTTGATCTCATTTGTCCTTTCCACACTCAGCACCCAGGCAGCTACAGTCAGACTAACGTGTGCGGCACCACTGCATATGTCTTTCCCTTTTGCTCGGCCAAGTCACTGCCGCATGACCCTTTCTTCAAGCTGTGTACTGTGAAGAGTCATATAAGCCTCAGTCTTCACAAGTTCCACTGTGTCACATCTCTCACTGGACAAGACCCTCAAGTTGCAGGCCGCGGTGCTGCCGGTAAATTCAATGAGAAAAGCGTAGGCGATAAAGACACAAAAGAGATGTATCGGTCAAAAACTCCAGCTACCTGCGCCAAACAATCTGAAATGTATCTAAATGTCCTCAACTCTTCTATCGACATCAATCGCTTACGTGCCTTCTGCGCGCCACCAGTCTGAAAGGCGTTGTTAGCCAAATCTTCCAGCAGCGGCCTCTTGTCCACATCATTGTTTCCCAAAGGTAAATCAGGTCTACCCGGTCTGCCCCTAGATTTGATGCACTGAGAACCAGCCCAAAAGTCCGACCTCGGAATTGCACTTGCAAAATTGACCTCGGCCAACTTGACTTTGGAGCATCACATGACACGCATCCCACAGGGAACATGCAACATAAAGTACAGAACAAATGGGCAAACAAAGTTCAAAGACGCCGACATAGCAGCTCTCGTACAGATTTTTTGACAAATCCTCCACAATTTTTTGGATGTTTTGCTCCGTTGGCTCAACGAAGTAGACCTTGCAAGCATATGCATAAATCCACTGCTCGCACGTATATGCAGCTCAAAACACTAAAGGACGGCATGACCGGAAAGAAGCAACCCGGGAGGAGACGAGAAGATATAAACATGATGCAAAAATAGAAATGATGATGAATGATGAATGACACATGATGCATGATGATGCATGATGCTTTATGATGCTGCATGATGATGCGTGATGATGCATGATGATGCATGGTGATCCATGATGATGTATGATGATGTACGATGATGCATGATGATGCATGATGATGCATGATGATGCATGATGATGCATGATGATGCATGATGATGCATGATAATGTATGATGATGTATGATGATGCATGATAATACACCTTCATGCATCATCATGCATGATGATGCATGATGCTGCATGATGTTGCATGATGATGCATGATGATGCATTATGATGCATGATGATGCATGATGCTGCATGATGCTGCATGATGATGCATGATGATGCATGATGAAGCATGATGATGTATGATAATGAAAGATGATGCATGATGATACATCATCATGCATCATCATGCATGGTGATGCATGATGATGCATGATGATGCATGATGATGTGTGATGATGTATGATGATGCATGAAGATACATCATGGTGCATCATCATGCATGATGATGCATGATGATGCATGAAGATGCATGATGATGCATGATGATGTATGAAGATGTATGAAGATGTATGATGATACATCATCATGCATCATCATGCATCATCATGCATGATGATGCATGATGCTGCATGATGCTGCATGATGATGCATGACGATGCATCATGATGCATGATGATGCATCATGATGCATGATGCTGCATGATGATGCATGATGATGCATCATGATGCATCATGCTGCATGATGATGCATGATGGTGCATGATGATGATGATGATGATGATGATGGTGATGATGATGATGATGATGATGATGCTGATGCTGATGATGATGATGATGATGGTGATGATGCTGATGCTGATGCTGATGCTGATGCTGATGCTGGTGGGTGGTGGTGGCGGATGAACGATGAACGATGAACGATGAACGATGAATAACACTGAAAATGATAATGATGAATGGTGAATGATGTTGATTATATATATCATGCATTCACACGGAATGATAAAATCTGCGGCCGACTGACATGATCTTACAATCCCTAATTAAAAACGAGACGCCGCTAATCCTCCTTGCCCAGCTCAAATATCCATGATTCCGTGAATCATTCTGCCACGAACACATCCACCGCACATCAAAATGTATAATGCTTCTGCTCTCCACATTATGCTTCCAGTTCGTTCGAGTGCCTTCCAAAGTGAAACATTGGCTTCATTTGTCAGGACAGAATTGTTTTTACCCTTCCAGTTCGAGCGTCTTCCAACGTGAAACATTACCTACATTTGGCAGGGCAGAAAAAAATTACACACACATGCTCTTACACAGAGCAGGCTTAACACACAGATGTTGGAAGTTTTTACACGCACAAGTTGGGCAGCAGAGACGCTTTTGCACACAAACCCGTTTCCGCACAGAAGTTTTCACACAGAGAAGCCGTACACAAGAGTATGTTTTGCACACAGGCAAAGCTCTTGCACAGAAGCTTCTACACAGAGAAGCCGTTGCACAGGGCAGCTTTGACACAATGACGTTTTTACACACAAAAGCTTTTACACAGAGGAACCGTTCGTTGCACAAAGGAAAACTTGCATCTCACCACCGCTTGGATGTCCGACACACACGATCGCCGCAGAGCGTCGCACATGCACGACAACATTCGCATTTCACCGTGCGTTTGCCAAGCTGCCCCAGCCGCCTCAAGAGGAGGGTCAACATTGCAGGTGCCTTGTAAGGTTTTGTTTTTTTTCGGCGGCTCCGAGAAGTTGATCAACTAGGTGATATGTTGTCCATGATGTAGGAGACGTTGATGATGTACATGATGTAGGTGGTGTAAATAATGTAGTTGATGGATGTAGGTGGTGATGATGATGATGATTATGACGACGACGATGATGTATATAGGTGATGTAGATGATGCTATCGAGAAGAAATAAACGTATGTGATGTAAGAGCTGAAGTTAGCAGCACTTCTTTAGGAAAAAACATTCGCAGGAGCTTTCGGGAAAAAACAGAAAACACATGAAAACACAACTTCAAATTTCCTGACGTCATGAGCAGCAGTCCGAACGGCATGGACGAATCTGAATTCACCAAGGATCTGCAGGAACGTCTGCAACGGGCAACCTTTCGCTGTTGATGTTCAAGTGCAAGGTTACCTGACCCCATGGTTTGGCAAATTCTCACGGTTAATTCTTGGGGTTCATGCTGCGACGACACCCAAGTTCTTATCAGTCTCCCAATGTGATAGCTGGGCGGCTCCGTGATTTCGCAGCCCTCCCACTTTCAGAAGCAGAGACACGACCTCCTGCCAATGCAAAAAAATGGAAGAACGGCGCCGAGGTGACATCACAAACAAGTGCCGACAACTGCAGTTGAAATGGGACAGATTGTTGACACATCAGAATTTCGGTAAGAACATGCAAAATGGCGACGCGTAAAATTAAATGATGTAAACTGTCTGTTGTGGGAAGGAATTTCCATCCTCTCCATCCGCACCATGTCCTGACAGAACTTGTCATAGACAAGGACTTTCCAAGTCGATGCTGTGCTGAGGTTCTGGTCGCCGCCATCTCCCAAGTTCAGCATTCGGAGCCTGGGGGCGTGGACCACGAAGCAACCGCATGCACCGCAATGAGATTTCAAGGGTGCAATCAAGCCGCACTGCATTTTTTTGGAGCTCCAGGATGCTTTGAGCCATCCTGCACGCAGTTAGCTGCAAATGCAAAACCTCGCCAAGGTGCAAACATTGGCTGTTGGTTTTTTGTTTTTAGCTGCCTGGGCACCCACAGACTGGCATTCCAGACATCAGCTGAGCCGAAAATGCGGATGGCAGCGGGTTTAGCTCTCCTTTCCGCAATTCTCTGTGCTGGATTTCGCACGAAACCTCCTTTTGGTCATTTTCTGCAGACTTGGCCCCACACCCAATCCGTCCAACCACAGCTGTGGCGCCTCATTGGCGGGTTTGCGGAAAAAAAGAACTGCAAACACAAATCTGTTTGATCACGTCCTTTACTTTGATTCATTCACATTTGGGACGCCATCATGAATCATAATTGTAAAAATATGTATATATATATATTATATATATACATAATATCCCTACCTGGTGGCCTGACTGTTGGACAAGCTGAAACCATTAATGCAAGAGAGGAATCAAATCCTTCATCATCTCTGTTTCTCCTTCATGAGGTGACAATTTCATTCATAGTTTTCATACGTTTTTTTGTGATGTCCCTGGTTTCCACTTCGAGTACAAATTGTGGCTGGGTTCCACGGGATGGGACAAAATTCTGCCGGCCCCATAGTTTTTAAATGGGTTTTGCGAAATGCTTAGAATCTGGATCCAAAAGCAGAAGGCTGGGCGGCCATGTCATGAACGTTCATGGCCGCAATCAGGCGGCGAATCTCCAAAGCTTCATTTGCTGTCTAATGTGATGGTGAAATATTGATTTTAAATGAACATTTCCGTATTTTCTGAAAATACATCATTGAAGCCTCCCCACCGAAACCACCTCACCGAAACCACCCTGCAACCACATCACCGACACCACTCCACTGAAAAATCATCACCGAAACCGCTCCACTGAAACCACGTCACTGCAACCACATCACTGAAACCACCCCGCTGCAGAACGTCACTGACACCACTCCCCTGGAAAAAAAAAAAACTTCACTGGAACCGCTCCACCGAAACCACAGCACTGCAAACACATCACTGAAGTCACCACATCAGCACAACCACATCACTTCACTGAAGCCACATCAGCTCAACCACTCCATTGACGCCACTCCATTTATGACATCACTGACTGGCACCGCCTCTTTAAAAAAAACCGCTGAAACTGCTCTACTGACACAATATCACTGCAACCACATCCCTGAAACCATTGGACTGAAACCACATCACCGCAACCACTTGACTGAAACCCCTTCACTGAAACCATTCGAACTGCAATTTGTAGTTTTTGATGGGTGTTTCTCACGGAAATTTCGCTTTCACCACTTCAATTTGCAGTTTTTGAAGTCTGACAGTATGTCTCTAACGAAATTTCAATTTCACAATTTCGATTTGCAATTTTTGAAGAATGTCTCACACAAAACCTTCATTTTCACATCTTCAACTTGCAGTTTTGGAAGGATGTCTCGCACGAAAGTGTCGCTTTCACATCATCTTGCAGTTTTTGAAGGATGTCCCTCACAAAAGTTTCGTTTCCACATGTTTGACTGACTTACAGTTTTTAAGGGATGTCTGGCACGAAAGCTTCGTTTGCACAACTTCAACTTGCAGTCTTTGGAAGGATGTTTCCCATGAAAGTTTCTTTTTGGCATCTTCATCTTGTAGTTCTTGACGGACGTCTCGCACGAACTCTTCCTTTGTATAATTTCAACTTGATTCCACAAACAGTGCACCCACACTGAGGGTTCTTACGGTGTAAAAGCCGGTGCTTGATCAGGGTGCTCACTCTGGTCTGCGGCCTTTTACCTGTAAATTTCCGTGTGAAGTGGCTCTTGTGAAATGTTGAAATGCATTTCGACTGCACAGGCTTGCACAAAGTGTGTGTGTGTGTGTCCGCGTTCTGGGCTTACTCTGGTCTGCGGCATTTTACTTGCAAATTTCCAAAAACAGTGGCTCTTGTGAAATGTTGAATTGCATTTCGGCTGCGCAGGCTGGCACAAAGTGTGGTCCTAGGCTCTGGGCCGCAACATGTGTCCTGTAAATTTCTGTGTAAAACCGTTCTTGTGACATTTTGAGGTGCATTTCCACTGCGCAGGCTCGCACAAAGTGTGGTCCTAGGTCTTGGGATCGGTCCTCCTTCTCAACATCCTCATCCCCCACAGCACCATCTTCCTCCTCCTCAGCATCATCTTCCGCAACATTATCATCCTTTTCGTCATCCTCCTGAACATCATCATCCTCAACATCATGATCTTCCTCCTTCTCATCATCATGATCATCCTGCACCTTGTCCTCCTCCACTTCATCTTCCGCATTATCATCCTCACCCTCATCTTCCTCAACATCACCATCCTCATCCTCATCCTCCTCAACATCATCATCCGCAACATCATCCTTTTGCACCTCATCATCCTCAACATCCTCATCATCAACATCATCGTCCGCATCATCATCATCATCATCATCATCATCATCATCATCGCCATCCTCATCCCCATCCTCATCATCGTCGTCGTCGTCGTCGCCGTCGTCGTCGTCATCCACATCCTCATCCTCATCATCACCCTTCTCAGCATCACCATCCTCCATCTATCATCCTCATCCTCATTCTCCTCAACATCATCATCCTCCACATCATCCTCCTGCACCTCATCATCCTGAACATCATGATCTTCCTCGTTCTCATCACCATGATCATCCTGCACCTTGTCCTCCTCCACTTCATCTTCCGCATTAACATCCTCACCCTCATCTTCCTCAACATCACCATCCTCATCCTCATCCTCCTCAACATCATCATCCTCCACATCATCCTCCTGCACCTCATCATCCTCAACATCATCATCCTCAACATCATCGTCCGCAACATCAAAATCATCATGATCATCATCATCATCATCATCAACAGAAGTATCATACATTATCCTCCCACCCCCCACGCTGTTTGGGGTCTCTTTTCGGAATAATTCTTTTTGGAGAAATAGCAAAGGCACGACATGGTATGTTTTGCAAGGCAATACACGACTCACAAGGTGGATGGGCAAGGTCTGCCGCGCGACGAGCGCGAGACAGTCCCAGCCACCTTCAATCAACCATGCAATGGACGGCGCTTTCTTTTCAATATAGTTCGATTGTCTTTTGCAACTCACTGCTTCCACTTCGCCGTGCTGATGGCTGCATCAATCTCATTCTGTGTTGATCACCGCTTCCACTTCGCAACGGCATGGCTGCGTCAGTGTAGCGCGGCATTGCTGATACAAAAGTATAATCCTACTGTTTTTTGGGACTCGTTTCTTCCACTTCACAGTGGAGTGGCTGCATCAATGTTGCTTCGTGTTGATGCCGCGTGCGTGCTTCTGTTGTCTTTTCCAGCGCGTTGCTTCAAGTTCGCGGCAGAATGGCTGCGTCAATGTTGCTCTCTGTTGCAGGCGCGGGCATAAGTCTATTTTTTGCGTAACTCACTGTTTCCACTCCACCGTCGTGGCTGCGGGAGGGTTGCGAGGATGAGTTGTTCTTGTTTTTCCTCGTTCTTGGCGGTTTCTGTTTTCCTTCCACAAATTCCTTTCTCTAAGTTTCAAGATCGTACTTTCTTAAGGTTTGGTGCCATGATCCGGGTTTTGGAGCAGATTTTGGGCCAAGAAAAGGTTTTCTTTTCTTGCGGACGTAGTAGTTCTATTGTCTTTTGCAATTTGTTGCTTGCAAATCGCATTGGAATGATTCCATCAGTGTTGCTCTGCATAGTTGCTGCGCATCTAGTTCTACTGTCCTTTGCAACGCGTTGCTTGCAAATCGCATTTGGGGTGGCTGCGCCAAAAATTGCGATGATGAGTTGCTGGTGATTTTTCTCGTCTTTGGCGCTGACGGTTTTCCTTTGCACCTAGTTTCAAGGTCGTGTTTTTTCTGGTTTTGGCACCAATATCCCGTATTGAAGCAGTTTTTGGACAAAAAGGAGCTAAGCACAGATGAGTTGAGGCTGAGAAGAGCCGAGAAAAAGGAAACAGAATGCAGATGCAATGAGATGAGAATAGATGAGGGGAGTGGGGAAAAGTCGAGAAGAGCTTGAGATTCACTGGCCAGCGCCAAAATGAGTACGTCCAAGATGGGAAGTGGCAGGTAATGAGATGGATGAGACGGGAAGACGAATTTACCACATGACATCGGACTTCCAAGATGACATGGGTAATCCTTAAAATTCCGTCAAACTCGTTGAAATTTGTTAAAATTGTTGAAAATTCTTGCAAATTCTTTCAAAATCCGTAAAATTCCTTAAAATTGTTACTTTCTTATTTTCCAGCTCTTGGTGTGGTGCAGCTGCTCAGCTCCGACCCGTCCAGACGGTTTTCAAAATGAACATGCGTTTTAGGTTATAAGGAGAAAAAAAAAACATATAATTAATGCAAATAAAGAAATATAAAATACATTTATTGGTTTACTATATTTCTCACATATAAAGAACATAGAAAATATAGAAAATATACGCTTAGTTTTGTTTTTTTGTGTTTCTCTAATTTTTCCATTCTGAATGAACCATTTCGGCGAGGAACCGCGCAAATCATTCACAAAATTTGGGCATGCATGGGACCTCTACCACAAAAAAAACAAGCATGACAAACATCCAACACAACCTCTACAAAATAGAAGTCAACCCCATCTGCTCCCATCAAAACATGACACAAAGATGGAAAACATGGCCCCTACAAAATAATTTCCTAGCAAACTGGCGTGTTGCAAAACGAATTTTGTTTTTTTTGATGACGCTCAATCCTGTATTTTGTAAACAAAGTTAGGGTTTGAACTGGTGGCCTTGCACTCTGGCTCGCGAGGTGTTTGCGCCTCATTACTATTTGTAGAATAAAGGATCACAGCGATCTGCTAAATACGTGCTAGATAGCTGCTAAGTAGTTGCTAA